GGCTTGATTCGGAAAAACTCGGATTCTGTTATGTCTTTTGCTGCTCGGAGTTTCTTCAGATAGGTTACTATTTCCTTCTCCCGAGCCAATGTTTTATCATGTGTTGAAACCGGACCGAGTTCCACAAATTTAGACCCGTCGTCCAGTATGGTAGCCATTTTTGTATTATACTCCATTCGCGTTAAGATAACTGTTGCCCGACCTTTGTCTGGCCGAGTGTCGCGCGCGTTTCTTTAAGCAGTTGCAGGTGTTGGAAGCTGTATATATTCGCACACGTGACCCTGTTCTATGCAAGCAAAAAGAAAATGTTGTAGCACTCACACTTTTCAAATAATACGCACTCACCAGTTTTTGTTCACACGCACTCACAGCTGCCACATTCATCTACTGCTACCATTCTCAGATAGTGACTGCAAAGGTTCACACTACACGCGTTATGCATAACCGCTAGCTGTGCTGCATTCTCACGCTTCTTTTCATATTACTCTAGCTATATAACTGGCTGTTTTAGTGATTCTTACTATGTGACGATGTTCCACTGATGATGGTCACACGAAAACGTTCTGGAATTGTTTCATTTTAATTGTTTATACATGGTTATGAGTGCACAATTGATACTTTTCATTGCTATTTTACGACTGTTGTCTCCTCGTCGGTTATTGAAATACTTAAGTCCTGCTTAGTCCTGGTTTATACTTTTTGTTTTCAAAGATGATATCAGGAGAGTTGGACCAACAAATGGCCTTTGGATAGGTAAAATTGGGTTTTTTGCAATGCTATTTCCTCCATTTTCACAAGCGTGTTACCCAATGAAGAGCCTTTAACTACGTTTGTCCTGGCCTTCATGTAGACGTTACGAGTACACAAGTTATGCGATCCAGTCCTCCAATTACAACTGTAAATGGTACAATTTTCCTTGGCTCATCTTCTGAGTTCTTGATACGAGTACAGTGACGATTACTTCTATAAACTCGAGGGACACGTTTTCCACTGGTCAATATTTTCAGCGTTTTCTGTTCTTTTGTAGCTCTATCGAAGATACCTGGTACAAATTTTGTATTTCTCTCCATTGTACATGTTATTTGTAGACACCGATCCCTACAGGAACACAACGGCATGTACAAGTGACTTCAGGTGTCAGAATGGTGCTTTCGGCGATCTTCATTATTGTCTTCGTAAGTGTCGTTAAGAGGTTTTTTGGGTTTTTTTAGATGTTCAATTAGTGCTGTCAACGACGGAAGTTGTTTGAATGCAAATTATCCCTAGCTATCCAAAGTCAGTGTAAACCTGATCAGTCTTGGGTACCGTATTTCCTCAATAGGTCTTTTGCCAAATAAGACACACAGTGACTTGGCGGGGCATGGCATGTGTACTGAATGCGTGACCCGGGCAGTCGCGGGCACACCATACATGCAGTGCATTACGAGTCACGCGCGAGCTCTTGTTCCTGAACCGCAACGATCAATCACCGCGTTTGGCGTGTACTCACCCACGCGTCGAGAAAATAGTCACTTTCCTTTTTTTGTTTTCCTTGTGTTTTTCAAAAACTATGTTTCTTCAAGCGATCGCGATCGCGATCGACATTCTAGAATAATATAATGAGGACGGTCACTGGATTTTCTCTGCCTAGTTCTTGTAAAGGGTTTAGTTTTGTTTTCTAGAAGATCTCTCCAGATTTTTTAGCCATGGGAAAGGCGATCACTGCTGCGTTCCGCAGTGCAACAGCGACCGACGTTCAGACAAAATACTTTGTTCAATGTCTTCCCTGCTAGCAAGGAATCGAAAACTGGAGAAGCTAAGAGCGTGAGCAGTGACGAGTTGGACACAAGAAGTCTTGGATTGCCGCCATTCGTCGAGATGAGCGGAATGGCTACGGGTACCATCATGTCATACAATATAGTGGTGTGTTCTAACCATTTCACTGATGAATACTATAGTCGCTATCGACGATATCTAAGTGGAGTTCAGCCTGGAGATTTAGCTCGGTTTGAAGACTCTGACATTCAGTACTACACTGGTTTTCCTTTGCTTGCTGCGTTTGATGCATGTATTCAATTTCTTCACCTGGATAATAAGAGCGTCTTTCCTTTCGCAGTAAACCAGTGGATGCCGATTCCAGGAAAAGGAAACCCGGTGATGAACGGAAGATTAGGTTAATTGGCGTGGAGAGCTTTTTCATTACCATGGTTAGTCTTCGCCATGGCACACATACCAATCTCGCCGCGTCCTTCCCAATTGGCAGAACGATTGCTGGATGTTTTCAAAAAGCTGCATCCTACAACATTCATGATCATAGATGCTACAGTGCTGAAATGTAATATCGATTCCAGTCTGTCTGCGCAGTCGCAACTCTACAGCTCATATAAGACGCATAACGTTACTACCTTGAAGTGCATCATCCGTATGACCCCAGATGGTGGTGTGGCGCTTACGTTACCTCCAAGTCATCTGAAATAAAGATTATTATATTATATTATTTACGGGATCCACCAGTGACCACGAGCTCACAATCAGAAGCCACTACTAGTCTTAGATCTTCTGCCAGTAGCAGGCTATGGGACTTTGATTATGGCAGACCAAGGATTTGACATCCGGGATCTCTTGATGCCACATGGCGTAAAGTTGAACATTCCCCCGTTCAAGCGATCAAGCAACAGATGGCCTTAGAAGATGTCCAGAAAACGCAACCAATTGCCACGTTACGAATTCATGTTGAGTGTCTGATGGAGCGAACCAGGGAGTTCTCTATCTTTTCAAAGATCGTTCCAACAATTCTTTCTTTCCCTATCATCATTCAGATATGGATTGTTCGCTGCCTGCTCACAGTATTCTAGGCTCCTTTACTTGCTGAAGCAAATATGTTTTCCATGCCAACTGTTGCTAGCATTGCATGGCGAATTGATCTTCAGCAACACAAATTTTGTCATGCCTGAACAATCATGCACAATACGGAGCAGCTAATGACTTAGTCGGTATAAATGTGGATAGTATGATATAATTTAGATTGCAATATTTGCAAAAAGTGCAATGAATAATAAAACCCCTCTTGATGAATATTAGTGCTGGCGGTTTATCAATTTCCATGGTCACAACAGACTTACAAGGGCGAATATAAAAGTATCTTTGCAACCATACAATAGGTCCTTTGGTAGAGCAGAGCTGGACCCAGTTTCAGGAAAACTAGGACGAAATGTAGCTGCTAGAGGGACAATTATGCTCATTGCGTCGCTATGGGCTTCCACGAGCTCAACGTCAACAATGCTCTGAATGGCAGCGGGTTTCCGCTTTCCTTGCCAATGCCTGCCGCCAAATATATCTGGAGTGCACAGTATTGGATCGATGTGATAGAACCAGGCCCTGAACAGATGGAGAAAGTTAGAATGTAAAACATGACATTGTATCGATAAAATGTACTTGTGCGAAATGTTGAAGACTGCATCCTGAAGTGGTACTTACCGATCGAGCAAATTACCCCGTTTCCTGGACACTCCGGCTCCTCTAGCTCGCAGGTAAGTCTTCAACTGGTTGATTGTCCATTTTTCAAAGGACTCGTTGTCCAAAGGCATCAAAAGCCGAGCTTTGGGATCGCTAATTCAACTTGATTCTCCCTCGCAGGACTACTATCAACATTCCCTTCATCGCAAGTTGCCAACGTACCGCCACAAGAGATGTGCTCGGCTCATTGACCGCTTCATCAGCCATGTATCAAAAATATCACAAAGGTCCAGCAAGAAGTAAATGCAAAAAAACCTTTCTACAAATCGGACAGCAATGAAGAAGCGAGAAGAAAATAGAATCCTTCGCTGTCAGTTTTTTCCGATCCAGGAGAGAGTCTCGTTTTTTCTGGCCGCCTGGGTGAGTACACGCCAAACGCGGTGATTGATCGTTGCGGTTCCAGAACAAGAGCTCGCGCTGGGAGGAATGCACTGCATGTATGGCGTGCCTGGGTCACGCATTCAGTACGCATGCCATGCCCCGCCAAGTCACTGCGTGTCTTATTTGGCAAAAGACCTATTAATAGACCCGGTCTTTTGTTTTTTGAAGAGGGTTGGACCCCCGGTCTCTTATTTGGGTATGGTCCATTATTTGAGCACGGTCCACTATATTTTCATCGGCACATCGCTGGAAATGGTGGATTTTAACACGTGATGTGCCGATGAAAATAATATTATAGTGGACCGTGCTCAAATAATGAAAGAAAGCACTAGCCACTACAAAAATATTGTAGTTGCGCAACCTAAAATCGCATCCATTTTTGATCCACCACGTGCTTTCTTAGTGCGCATGCGCAAAGCGATGAACTCAAATAAGAGACCGGGTCTCTTATTCGGGCATGGTCTACTATTTTTCCGTGAGGCCTCTAGGAGGGTCTACTGATCATGGTCTATTAATCGAGGAAATACGGTAGTATCCAACAACTTTCGTCTATGATGAGATCTTATCACGCCACTGGCTATTTTCCTAGCCCTGTCTGCATCTACATTTCCATGGCCAAATCCTTTTTTAAACCTTGACCAACTGGTTGCAGTGGAGCCTCCGAATTCTTCTCCGTCTTTTATTGGTATCCAAGGCTCATGGCACAATACAGTATCTCATTGTGAGCATGTGCGCAAGTCTTACCTACTGATATGTTAGTTTGGACAGTTAACCAGAGTGATGAGATAGTTGTTGTATGTCCGCTGGGGCATGTCAAATAATTATACCAAGAGTCGATAATCCCATTTTTCAGTATGCCATAATCCCCCAGAGTGCGCCACTGGGGTGGGGTTGTGGGATGGCGTATTCCACGGTGTACGTCATTTTTTGGGTCGGACTTGCGTCATTCCGCCGACACGGTCCACACTTCCTCTAATCATGATGTCATCCTATGACGCGCAACACGGATTTCGGCGTCCCAGATCTGATCAGTGAAGTTGCGCACTCAGGGGATTATGGACTATTTTATTATACCAACCAATTAACCAACCAATTAACCAACCTTGTAACCTTTTTGCAGGACTCCGATGTCCAACACAGAGGATTGGTAATGGCTTCCTAGTCGAGAAACCGGAAGATGAGAGATTCAGAACCAATTTCACGTGCGATGATGGCTACAGGCCTGCTCCAGGGGCTTGGGCCGAATGCAATCAGGCCGGATGGGTATTGACCGAGCCCATGTGTGAACCGCGTAAGTGTTATTATTGTTATAACAGTGTTTGACCAACCGAAGACGCTTCTTTCACAAGGTCTGTAATTTCATATATTGACCGGTTATGAGGGTAATATGAGGGCAATAATAGATGTATCATGACATAGCCTACCTAACCGGCAAAATGTGAAGACTGGCTATACTTGAGGAATTGTGTGTTGCTCCCTACGTGGGAGCTCGCGCCTTTCCTGCCGACTTGAATTCTCACTTGACTGACTAACTACTGCCATCCAGAGCACACGAGAAGTCCATCGAACCTTCCACTCGGCAAACCTGCAAGAAAGCACCACTCCCTGCTAAATAAACAGCGTTTCGGGGAATTCAACCTTCATCAGTTGAGCTTGAGTAGGCTGTTTTTTTGTTTGTTTAGCTTTATTTTACTTCACCAGAAGCACAGGCAAAAACTGCTTTCTCACTGGGCGTATTGCCACAGTTCTCGCAAAATGATGAAGATAGTGATAATTAAACTCGGATGGAGAGCCAAGGATTAAAATTAAAAAAGAGGACCAAAAGTTTGCAAGTTATCCGTTTTGTCCAACACTAACGGTTATAAGCAGAACACTGTTGAGTCAAGATGTGCAACAATTAGCACAAAACTGACTGATGAGATCATGACATTCAACGACAAAACGGATATTAAACTTGTAAACTTTTGGTCCTTTTTTTAATGGTGATAATTATAAGAAAAGGAGGATGGGGAAAATACAGTCATTAACAAAGAACAAAGAGAAGACGGAAACAAATCAATGAGGGAATACTGCAAGTACCGAATTTGAATTTGATGAGGTGTTTCATGAAAATGATACAACGGATCCAAAGGTTCCAGGGTTGAGGGAATGTTGACACTTATCAGTCTTTGAGATCTTAGGAGAGGAGAAAGATAGTTAAAGCAAGGTTTCAAACTAATGTGCTGGACCCTAGGGTTGGGCAAACCACTAGTACCGCTACATGTAGTGCCGATACAAATCTGACTGGAATGTCCCAGGTTTCGGTCCCTGCCCTGTCTTCAGTGACGTTGTCTGTGCGAATTAAAATAAACCAACCAACCATGTTAATTGCTTATAGGGGAGTTTAATACGGGGTTCGTGATTCGAGTGCTTTTCCGAACGAAAAGTGTGAACGTTCGCAATCCAGTTCGCACACCGAGAAACGTTCACGAACTCGAACGCGCAATTCGTGAGGCCTCCGTATTCTCTAGTCAAGTGGGCGTGTGACTGGGGCATATTCGTGCATCAGACGTTGTTATTGAAGCTATGTTCTGTTTGTTTTCAATGTGAAGGAGACGTCTGTACTCCATATCAGATCAGTATCCACGAGGATCCTGCACTATATTCGGACGCCGCTAGGCAGTGTGAACTACGCAATGCATCGCTTCTCAGCAAAGCAGAGCACGAGAAGTTAGCGGGCTCGGCATGCTCCAACGTAAGTCTCACATCGAGGTGTGGAAAATGACAGGACAAAAATGAATCTGCTAACCCGATCCAAAGCACATGTATATGTATATGTACCTGGAACTTCTAAGCACATAATTAATAATTTTACATGTACAAGCACATATTATGTACTTGTATCAACAGCAATACGGTGCTGCAGCAAATCTACCCAACATAATACTTTTCCCACCCTAAATTTCATTCCGTCTGCAATCTTAATGCTAGTACATGTACTACTACTACCTGCGCTACAATAATACATGCACTGCAAAATACAAAATTCCAGTTATTTACCACGTTCAGTCTCTAGCCGACTTGCTTTCTTCGTTCCCATTGTTGTTGATATTGTCATGCTCTGTATGGATGATTTCACTCTGTACTTGGTGCTCACTGACATCAGACCAGAAGTGCAAAAACTAACGCCCTGGACCAGTTCCGGTTACTGAGCAGTAAAACCTGTAACTAAAGACCACTGTGACTAGCGACCAGCCTGGTGCTAAAGGCCACTTCGCCAGGCACGGACGGTCTCACATGCATACATGGTTGTGCGGTGCAAACCTCCAACTAAGGACCACCTGCCACTAAAGACCGCTTTCGCTTTCTCTGACCCCAAGGGGTGGTCGTTAGTGACAGGTTTTACTGTACTTGTTCAAGAGTACGTCCAGCTGCATTCGTGCCTCCTCAGAAGGCGTGCAAGTAACTGAGTTGAGGTCGTCCAATATGTACTTTCTGTCGGATTTGAATAAGCGCAACTGTAGTTGGTGATACTTGCACTCTTGCGGGTGCCTTTCGCGTCATTGCTCTCAACGTCCCAAAGCTACATATAAAAGATTGGTTTTCTGCTTCCCATAATCACCATTGCAACGAATGTTCAAGAGTACGATAGGCCCGGTCACAGTGTCCATTGTCTTCTGTGCTTTGCTGCTTTCCTCTAACCCGAAATCTGCTTGTCCCTTTCATACAGTACGTCACGTGGACACTTCGGCGCAACAATCTGGCGAGCACCTGGCTGAAGGAATCCCGGTCAGAGGGCAGTGTGTTTAGCCTGGAATCTGAACCAATTGATGCCAGCTCTGGCCAATCTGCCAGTCCCTTTATTTGTGTCACAGGTAAGCCTGGAGTGAGTGACAGTGAGAAAATCACATCTGAGATGACTATATTAAAAATTATTTTCTTTACGTCTTTGCTCTTTAGTCTCACGAAAAGAGTGGTGGCATGGGCGATAATGTGTTTCGTTCTGTTTACTTACTCATGAATTCCCTTATATTAAGACCCAGTGCCCTTCGATAAGCGTTTTCGTAACACCTCGAAATTCTGTCCTAGGTGAAGTCCTTAACGAATATGTATGCTAGAGCTCTCAAGAACCTTTTAACTTATGGAGTACTTTTGCCAGTTACGAACAAAGCTTTAGCTATGAACCTTTCGAAGGCAGAAAGCAGTGCACTAACTCTGGTACTGGGAATGGATTTGTGTTAATTTCCAGATCCACTCGCCGTCTACAGCTTGAGGGAATCAACAGTCACGTTCATGGTGATTCTCACGCTGTTTTGCTATATTGCTTGCTTTGCAGACCGAAATGAATGTCAGGAGGATGGAGCTGTTTGTGATGCCTCCTTCACATGTGTAAACACAATGGGGAGTTATGAATGTCATCGTAAGTATTACTCCCCCCCCCCCCCTCCCATGCAGTGTTTCTGCCCATTTTTCCAGTAAAATGGCTATCAGGTTTCGCGAGGAAGGAGTAAAACGAGGCCTCCCTTCATTATGTAGTGAATGGGTGTGAATAAAAGATATGCATGGCTTCAAGAAGATAATATTGAAATGTTTCTAGCCAAGTAGCGTTTGCGCAGAGCATCATTCAGGATTTCAACCTGACTCCTAGAGTATCTCCGCTTGAAATATGCAAATAATCGACGTGGAGACAACAATTTTTATAATAGCAATGAAGAGAACAAATTCTGCCGTCATCGAAGATAATGTAGGAGGCAGGTTGAAATCCTGAATGATGCATGGCTGTGAGGTTAATTATTATAAAGCATGATCTGTAATCTTTTTCTATTTTTTTATTTTTGCATCAACCATTTACCACATAAAACCGTAACCGGATACATTGTACTTTAAGTGAGGGAAGGAGGTCAGAAAGGCGACATAGTCATAACTATAGCTTCTCATTGAATATTTTTACGGATCTCAGTGTGCGCATATCCGTAATCTTTTGCTGAGACTTGTCGACCGACCTGTACTGCTGTGCTGGCAATGATGGGTGAGTGATTGTGTGTTCATCGTACCTGCTGGCCAGTCTGCGTACGGCTGCACATATGACCACTCTCCGTGAACGTGATCATCAGGTGATCCGTCTGGAATCAAGACTGAATGGGAGCTAGTCAATACATGGAATTAGTGCCTTCCGGAGCTGGTCTGCCTTACTAGCGTTATTTTGTAAACCCAGAGGTGGTGGTAAAAACCGTACATCCCTATAACGATTATTATGATTACTCCTCGTTCTGACTCAACCCTACGATTTGGCTGAATGGAGCTATGCTCAATTTGCAGAACTGCGGCCTCCAATTCTTGAGTTTTATTTTGTGCGCTGTTTTGTAGGGCGAGAGTGCGTACCAGTGTACGTTCCTAATGGCTTTGTGAACACCACACCTGTGAATCATGAAGTCACAGCCACTTGTGACGCAAGTTATACCACTGTAAACAAAGCGACATGTACGGAAGGAGGATGGGTGGCTGGACGCGTTCCACATCCAGATCGGCCTACAGTTTTTCACGATGGGCATTTATGTGGAAAACGTAAGCTCATCATCTACAGCACAATGTTTCTCCTTATTTAAACTTCATCATTAATAGCCATTCATATCTTGCCTTTATGTGGTTGCCGATCAGACTGCTTCTTTGGCCACAGGTGTGTGTGTGTGTGTGTGTGTGTGTGTGTTAGGACACAAGTGTTAATCGCAGCCACGCCGACATGTGCAACATACATAATCCTATTAGAGAAAATACGGCAATATCCTTTGTAAGAAAGTCAACTGTAAACTGTTTTATTAAGTCAATGCTGTTCTTGTGGTTCACGTCCCAATCATGCAGCTGTAGGTTGCCTAAGAATGGATATACCTCATGGTCGAGTCCATTCAGCACCACATCGTGCGATTGTTTCTGCCACATGTGAAAATGGATATCATTCCATTAAACGGTTTTACGAATGTGTCAAGGATAGGGATGGTGGATTCTATTGGGGGAAGAGATACAACACTGATGGCTGTTTTCCATGTGAGTACAATATTAATCAGACATAATACTGAACTGTTCAGTTCACAGAAACCTTTATCCGTATTCAGTCCATCACGCAATATCACACTTGTTGCGCCTTTAAAGAACGCAGGGTTTCTTATTTCTGCCGTTTCAAACTTTAGGCCTGCAATGCCTTGTACTCAAACCCAAAGCTATCATGCCCTTGGGGTAGCTCATTTTTTTCTTACTTGTACATCCAATTTTACGGTGAATAGTGATGGATGCATTATTAACACTCCTTAAAGATATTGATATTGAGCATTGTTTCTAATGAGAATGATTATAGTCGAAAAATAGGCTTTCCCCAAATCGGGCAGCTGAAAAGGAGACTTTGTGAAAAATTGCTAAGCTATTCGCCGATTATGGAGGGTTGCTTTGAGAATCGCCGAAAAATCTACCAAATGTTGTTACAAAGTGCGTTTACGAACGAATGATGTTGCTGCAAGCATTACCGTTCGAGCTATCTACCTCAGTAGTTGTAGTACTAGTGCGTGTGACTCGTGTCGTTTGACCTCCTCCCAAACAAACATTAGCCATTAGGCAGATCGTTACTGGTAAAATACTACACTACAACGTACAGTTGTGGCCAGTTCCATCTAGCAGAGCTGTATTTTCAATATCTCACCAATGTTGAAGCCAATATGCAAACAATTGTTTTAGCCAATTTTCCAATGTATTCCAATTTTGCAGCCGATTTTCGAACAATCAGCTGATTTTGCAGCCGAATCTGATGTATTTTTTAGCTAAGCGAAAATCTGAATAGGCGAAAAAACCGGCCGATTTGGAGAAAGCCTAGTCGAAAAGCCTCTTGTACCGACAAAGCAAATGTACAGTAGAACCTGTCAAGGCGACCACTTGGATAAGGCGACCACCTGTCCAAGAAGACCACTGAAACCAGGATCAAGAGATGCTATTTCAAGTCAAGTGACCCTGGATAAGGAGACCACCTGGTAACAGAGACCACATTTTGAAGGTCCCTTGAGTTGAGCGGTCGTCTTCAACAGGTTTCACTGTACAGTTAAATCTGTCGTAAGCGACCGCCCCTTGGTGCAAGAAAAAGCGGTCGCTTACGGCAGATGGTCTCTTATGGCAGATGTATGGTAAATCCGGCATACCAGGTATATGCTTCCATGTACTCAAATCGACGAGAATAATGTGATTTTTAATATCATTTTAGAACGAGGTCTGTCTCGTTGTCCAGGAAACGACCAATCAGCGACATTCCCGCCAAGGGCCTTATCAGAGTTTAAAGCCCGCTCAATCGTTATTTTACTACTCTTGATGACGCGTCGAGGGCCTTGGATTAGTTTAAAGCCCGCTGAATATACTCTAAACTGGTGCGTACAACTCCCTGTATGCATAATAGTACGGTGCAGATAATGAACTCTGCATAACGTGTACGGTGTACTACTAAAAACTACGCAATTCAGAAGTGTGTACGGTTTTTGCCTCCCGTATTCTTTCACCTGTACGAATTTTCTTTGTCAACAGCTTGCGGAAGATCAAAGTCATTAGAGTTATCGACAAGGGGCTCTCAAAGCCCCTAAATAGCTCCACAAGCTACATGTATGAATAAGAATGAAGCTCGCAATAAGAGCCCAGCATTTCATTTGCTTCCATTCTACTTTTAGTAGTCCTAAGTGGTGCTGAGTTACCATAACTTACCAGAAGAAAATATTCTTTCATACCACACCAAGTCTCTCTGCACACAAACCACAAAACTACACACGCATAATGGAAGTGAGATAATGCATGTAACCTCGTTCTAAAATAGTTAGTGCATGGCAGGGAGGGTCTTATGGCTTGTTTGTGCCCTTCAGGGTAGCCCTCGGGCCTACGGCCCTCAGGCTAACCTGTCGGGCACTAACAAGCCATAAGGCCCTCCCTGCCATGCACTAACCTATAATTATTGGATATTCAACGACGACCATACCCGTAATCCGTATAGTACGCGTATGCGACACGGCAGTAGATCGACACTGCCTGGACTTGAGAGCTACAGCAGATCAGTACAGGCAAGGCGCCAGTCGATCACACTTGCAAGACAGCGCATTTTCACACTTTGCAGTTGACAGCGCACTGGCAAGTACAGTTTCGCACCTGACTGAACCTGGGTCGCGGTCGCTTACAGCAGATTTGAATGCAGCCAGCGTGCATGAAATCGCGGTCGCTGGTCGCGCACAGCAGATGGTCGCTCTGGACAGATCAGTTTGTATGTGAAACCGTCGGTGCTCGGAAAATCGGTCGCTAACGGTAGGTGGTCGCCTACAGCAGAGGTCGCTAACGGCAGATTTGACTGTATTTGCCAAAGATGTTGTACACTTCATCTGCCTAGTTTGGAAACTAAGTGATTCTTATAAGTTACGTTTCGTGTGCATGTGTCTGCTCTTTTGCTTTTAGTGAACAGCTGCCCAGAGAATGCTGGATCGAAATATATGCTCAGCACGCGAGGTGGCCTGGTACCTACATATAGCAATTTCCTTGAAAATTGCGCAGCCACTGCTGAAGGTCGTTTGCCAACGTCTTCTGATTTGCCATGTATGAAGCAGATACTCACGTTTTTGTTTTCAAAGCGCCCGGCTTTCCGAAAAGTCTTCTTCTATGCTGGTGGGGCAGGCCACGTCCTGACCATCAGCGATGATGGAGAGTTTCACGAGTCTCGTTTATCACCGGCACAGCGCAACCAAACGTTTCCCGGAGCAGACCTGGTGGTGTGCATGCCAGCTTGCCATCAGACGGTAAGATTATAATTATTACAATGATATTTTGTGCTTTTTTTGTTCTTATTAGTTTGTGCCCTGCACAATGTTCCACTACAAAGAGGGTCGAACAGAAAACAAAATACTTCGAAGTAGCTGAGTGTGGCCAAAAAGTAAGAAAGGGAGCACACAGGGTCCGCAGCGCTTCTTGTCTTTCCACAGTCCATCCAGGAGTTTGTTCGTTCGCTGAAGGCTTGACTAGGACCAAAGAGAATTCATCGAATGACATTCACCACAATAAACAATGCTTTAAAAATAAAACAATAGCCGCCAAAGGACCTGTCAGTTAGTAGACACCCATACAAAGAATCCCAGGACCCCATAATAGGAAGAGTTCCCAAATTACCTAGGAAGTAAGTAGGCCTCTTTTACGGGCAAACAGAATACAATTGACAGTGGCATGGCGAATGATTAGAACACAACACCAAAAAATGAAAACAATTGTATGTGTGAAAAACGCAAAAAAGCGAGAAAAAAAAACAAAAAACAAAAACAAAACAAAAACAGGAAAATACAAGGGCACTGTCCTGCCCACCATCGTCTCCAAAACCTCACAGCCGGCCCTCCGAGATTTCCAACTCTCGCAATGCATTCACAGGATGGTGATATGACGATCGGGCACCGCCGATGCACATGATCGTCGACCGCAACAATGCAAACGCCAGTCGACACCGGACATATGTCATTGTCTTGGCATACAACTTCGTGTCCCCATACCACTCGAAATGAGGCCACACAGGCGCTTGACAAATCTGGAGCACTCTGGCGCACAACAACCGGCCGTGGTGAAAACTAGTGGAGTAAACGTCCCACGGTCCACATTGATGATGCGCTCAGCATACTGCAGCTTCTTCTTCCTCTCATGCTCCGCCAATAGTTTGTCGAGAGGTTTAGTGGCATAGGACGGAGCATCGGGATGAAAAACCCGGACATCCAGGAAAGCATTCTGTGCTCTGGTCCACAGCCCTCGAGCCCGGACATCAGCGCGAGGATCGTTGGCGGTGTTAGTTGAGGCTGCCAGAAACACCTCTCCCAAATTACCTAGAGTGCTAGGGGTGTGCGGATAGTGCTCGAAAAGGTGGCAGATTCTGCTCGAAAAGCAGTGAAATTGGCAGAACCGTTTGTATTACAAACCTTATGGCGGGCAATTCCTCGAATTCTGCTCCATTCCTTTATCCACATACATGTACCAAACATGCATGAAACTTAATACCAGAAAAAGTATCGAATTTTTTCTGCCGGCATTATCCGCATATGCCTATAGAGTGCTCAACACCACAAATATGGAGGATTGCCACAAAGACAACTGGCCAGGTCCTAGGTCATTATCGCAAGGCTGCATTTCATGCACAAAGCTCAGGGCGTTTCTCACTGGCTGTACTGCCATGTGAAGCGCATACCATACGCTAAAGGAAGGATGAATGTTGATTATTTTGATGCCAATAATAATAATAATAACTTTATTAGGATGACCCAAAGGCTGACCGCCTATCGTGGGGTCCGTCGCATTGAAGGATGATGGTACAAGAGAGTACAGATTGGGAAGGGGGGGGGGGGGGGCGGGGGCTACGATGAACAGGGTAACGGCATGCCAGCGAGTAGACCTGAAATAATGGTGATGCTGGTGGTATGGTGGTGATTATTCTGGTGCTGCTGCTGCTGGTGCTGCCGCTGCTGGTGATGATCATGCTACTGCTGCTGCTGCTGCATAATTCATGGTTTTACCGAATCCTAACCCGGTGTTTGTCCCTCATTTATACTTTACCTGTTTATGTTTGCGTGTCTCCAGTGAGAGAACAGAGAAAACCGCAGCATCTGATTCCAGTCAAGCCGTCTGTCATACGGACACGATTTTATGTTTCTGCGGTGCACGATTCCATCTACATTCCAATGCTGCCCCCGCGATGCTTCGTTTATCTGCTATATATTGCAGTGTGATCGTACCAGTTTAGCACACATCTAATTTCTTTGTTGGATACGTTTTTTAAAGTTATTAACTTCATTCCTTCTTTGAATACGATGACTACCAACATGATGTCTTGGAAACTTTGGTCTTTGGTGTGTGGTGTGTGTACCGAATTCGCAAAGTACAGGACGTAAGTCCGGATGGAAGTGCAGCTTTTCTGGTCAAAGGTGGCGGAAGGAATAGATATGAGCAGGCTTAAAAGGCCTCAACCACACTACGTGAAAATCAGTTAAATCACAGTACAAATGTTCGTGCATATTTCAGTACAAGTCCGCCTGCAACCACATTGCACTTTTCGGTCTGCATAGATTACGTTTTCAGTCGACCAGCATGTGACGTTGTCATACTAAAGTCACGCGAAAGTGTGCAGAATTTTGCCCCAAGTCCAAAAAATCACGTTAAAAAACCACGTATTGGGCTGCACGGCGGCGGGCTAAGCCCGCCGCCGTGCAGCAGGACTTTTGCCAGCACCCTCGTGACGTTGCAGATATGTGGCTTGATTATTGTAGTTGACGTTGATTTAGTGACTTTGGCAAGTTTGAGTCGTGTCAAGAAGTCAGGTAGGATTCAGTACTAGGCAGTAGTGAAACGTGAGTGGCAGTCTTTGCCGGTTTCTGAGGGCATCCTGGATTTGGTGTGCAGCGCTGTGGAAATGGCTTGCTGTGGAGGTCCCAGCACTGGATGTTGTATCAAAGGTACGACCTCGTAGCACGTGCTAAACCTAAAAAAATTCCAAAAATTGACTTGGGTCTGTGGGAGTCCGTGAAAGAACGCCCACTCGTTCCGTTGTGACAGATTCCAGGGCCACGTTGAGGGGCCCTACCCCACCACCCATGGCTGCTTCTGGACTTGCTTTAGGTTTGGGTCCCGCGCACGGACAGAATGGGCACGAAAATGTGAAAAAAATGTAAATGCATTTGTTTGGCTCCTGGGTGGCTCGCACACCGTAGCACTATGCCGGAAATTTGAGTTTTTCCGGCCTGGAAAGCCTGTCAGTGAGGCGCAAGAACTTGTAAATCATGTCCTGAGGGCCAGCATAGTGGCAGGAGTGTGTGGTCAAAATTTCACTCAAATCCACTGAGAAACACTAAAGTTACGGTCAATTGAATGCCATATGAAATTTTTGGGTGATGTGCCCCCTTAAGAGTATAATAGATGCAGACATGGCCAGACAACAACGAGTTCATGGAATTTTTTTAAAAGAATTTTTATGTTATTCAAAATCGATTTTCGTGTTCCGCTCATCAGTGAATAGTATCGGAACTGAGTGTACTGTGTACAAAAAATAGAACATTTTATAACAGCATAATTAAAAGTGTGAACAAAAAAGGAAGTGCTACAGCATTACATAATAGGTGTCAAACATAGTGCTAACATAATATAACTGAGTGCAGCACTGCAGGCACAAAGCATGAGGTGATACAGTGCAACATGACACAACATTTACATCTGATAACCAGCTACGAGAACAACTTTAGCGCGACTACATGCTTCTTTTGTTTACAAAGAAAAGGATTATGCACACGAATACATACAGCTTCCAGACCCTTCAACTGCTTAACATAACTTGCACGGCACAAAACAGAAAAGTGAAAATCATCGTACACACTAAGACAATCTACTTCCTCCGTTAACAAAAACTTCGTGATGGAATTTTGAGGGGCTGATTTGGGCACAAACTGCCGTGAAATGAGTCGCAATCACTTTCTTGGCCTTCCCTGGCATGCCATGACAGAGGTACGATGCAAGGAAAGCGACCTTTTACTACAAGCCGAGCGGAATCGATGGTTGCGCTGTGGAAACATAGGTGATGACAGTCATGGCGAGCGAAACTGAAATACCACTTCTCCGAGGGGATATTGCGCTGCTTGGCCTCTCTACCACTTTAGCTCTGAGTAAGTTGGAGAGTGATAGAGAGCGATAAAACGGAGCAGCGAGCCCACATAATGAGCGAGTGAACAAGGAGCTGCTCCGATCGCACGGCTCAATGAAAACAATTCTGAACTCAAGATCTTGTTCAACCTGCGCAAAGTCCAGATTCGAATGCTGATGACCATGCAACCTTTCAGAAGTCTGCAGTCCGATGCGAGTTTCGTGGCTAAAGAAAGTCGACTGGACTTGCTAGCCGCTGCCGTTCAGTGCTGGTATCCATTAGAGAAAATGGAATCAGTTTGGCTGTGCCTTTACTCCTCGTTTCGCGGAGTTCTGGAGAGCGAAGATGAAACCAGGGGGTCGTAAAATATATTTCACGACTCCCGGGTGGAAACGAGTAATCGCCATCGCGGTGGATCACGCAGCTTGAAAGCCAACTTACCTGAACGACGGCGACATCAAGGTCAGCGGAGTGTGATCAAAGAAGCCGAGGCAAGGCTGAAACGAGCTGAACAACGACTCGAGAGAGATGACGACTCGCGTACAGCAGATGACGACTCGCGTGCAGCACATGACTACAGCGACGCAGGTCAAAAATGAATCGAGCGAAAGCGACGCAAACTGAACTCTCTGCTCATTCCGCGAACAGTTTCTCTTGTAAAGACGCTGTACATAGGCTGAATCACCTTCGTCCAGTGATTTGCAGTCGATACAAACTGTTCTTGACCTGTTCTAAGCGTTTTCATATCCATCAAAATCCATCACGAAGTTTTTGTTAACGGAGGAAGTAGACGTGATAACAAGTGACAAAATACAGCTGACTTTTTGCTCACGTCGCTCTCTTCCGTCTCATCCCGCTCCCTTCCTTCAACCTCCTCCGCCTTATCCTCGTCCTCCGTCTCATCTTCATCATCATCGTCCTCATCACCACCATCATCATCATCAGTCACTTCCTCATCATCCGTTTGATGCTCAGTCTCACCATGCTCACTGCACTCCTTATCAGCCTCCAACGTGGCTCCATCATCTCCACCAGCATCACAAGTCGTTTGACCGCTGCTCCGCGTTACCGTTGCTGGGTTCTCTGCTACTGCACACCCATTTCCACTGTCCATTTTGCGTGGGCCAAGTCCATTCCGTGCATAAATTTCAAGTGAATAGTTAGCTGTGCTTCTTCTGGGTCTATGGGTAAGGATATTGGTTTCATTTTGGTTTGTCGATGATCTCCGTCTCTGTCCAGACACAGTCGGCACCATGGATCCCAGCACCGGGGGGACCACCGTCTCCGTAGTCATCAAAGGTAAAGGGGGTGGCTCAGGCGGAGGCAAGGGCAACTGCCGAGGTGAGGGTTCAGTGTCTCTCAGTGGCCCCTCCTCAATTCCAGGACGATGACTTTTGTAAACAAAAGAAGCATGTAGTCGCGCTAAAGTTGTTCTCGTAGCTGGTTATCAGATGTAAATGTTGTGTCATGTTGCACTGTATCACCTCATGCTTTGTGCCTGCACTCAGTTAATTATATGTTAGCAATTATGCTGTTATAAAATGTTCTATTTTTTGTACACAGTACACTCAGTTCCGATACTATTCACTGATGAGCGGAACATGAAAATCGATTATGAATAACATAAAAATCCTTAAAAATTCAATGAACTCGTTGTTGTCTGGCCATGTCTGCATCTATTATACTCTTAATTGCACTATTTATTTATTTATTTTATTTATTTATTTATTTCACTCAACTCGTGGTTCATGACCAATTTGCACGCAAAGTGCGAGAGAGGGGTGATACTGATAGCCAACCACGGCAAGAAAAGAAATGAATATAGAAAAAGAGAAGAAAGAAGGATAGACAAGAATCCAGCAATGAGATCCAATCGTACTACATCATGCTATCGGAGTGCATTTTTAAAGCAGGAAAGACATTTTGATGTCTTAACATGCTGGGGAAGGTGCAGCCAAAGGCTGTAGGACAAAAACAGAGGAGAGTTGGTAAATGCGGCTGAATTAGCACGGGGAAGTGAGAGACTATTACGAGTGGACCGGGACAGAGAAAACCAATTGAATACGGGAAGATGAATGGGAATTTTACCTAGGCGAATTCTGTGGATCAAAATGCAAAGCTGCTGGTTGCGATTATCTTGCAGTGGCTGAGTATTGCTGATACAATAGAGCTCAGGACTAGGAAATAAACGCTGCTTGTTAAACAATATTTTAAGGAGAGATTTATGTTGGATTTCAAGTTTGTTCACAAGATGTTGACTTAGACTACACCAAGACTGACATGCATACTGGAAAATAGGTAATAGATACGAGCGATAAAACATAGAACGGCATGTATTTGGCAAATGAGAACAATGAGGATATAGTATGCCGAGAACACTACTAGTTTTCTTGCAAATATAGTCTACATGAGGAGCCCATGTTAGACAGTCGTCAATAATTATACCAAGGTGCTTATGTTCATGGACAATTTCTATGGTCGATGAGCCGCCAGGACATGATAAAGACACATTACAGAACTGATCACTAGCACCGCTACAGAAGAACATCACTTTGGTCTTACCAGTGTTCGGTCTCAGCTTCCAAGTCGACATCCAAGAAATGGTGGAGTTTATCTTTTTCTGGAGGTCATTAACTAGCAATTGCCTGCAACTACTTGAAGCGGAAACTGTGGTTCATCGGCGAACAGTGAAACATTAGGGACAGACATCGGTAGATCATTGACGGTTTTTTGACGTTTTTAAATATGTTTTTTCTGTTATCTATTTCTTATTGGACTCGGGCCCTCGTGAGAATGAAGACTTTAAACACAAATACAGATACACACACACACACAAACACGCACGGACACATACCTACTTCTCCATGCATACACACACATGAATGCACAACTACTTGTACACGCACACACAGGCACACTCGTACACGCACGCACGCACACACACGTCATTATGTTTCGTTATTTGAAAAAAACCGTTATCGCAAGATGTCTGTGTAAAGATGCGCATACAGATGGGTGACCAGGTAGCCATCGTTAAACTTTCTGCACGTAATCATGCCAAAATTACAAAATACATTAAACTTTTTGGTCGTCACACTTTCCGGTTTTACAGTACATGTATACAGTACAGTGACACCTGGTTTGTGCGACCACCCCACGGTGCAAGCAAAAGCGATCGTTAAAGCCAGGTGGTCTTTAGAACGAGGTCCACAGTGTTTGTGTAGAACTGTCGGTGCATGGAAAAACGGTCGTTAAGAGCAGGTGGTCGCTAAACCCAGAGGTCGCTTACACCAGGTTTTACTTTACTACCAACACATATCCGACTGTGATCATCATTGGAATTTCCAAACAAGATGCAAAACAAATACGCATGAAGCCACAGGGATGGTCATTAAAAACATAGACTTGCTGAGATTGACAGTGCAGGCTCCTTTGCACAATGACACACATTGATCACTGGTACACACACACACACACACACACATACACACACATGCGAGCGCACGCACACACACACACACACATACACACACGCACACACACACACGCACACACACACACACAGGCACACACACGCACACACACGCACACACACACATACACACACACATACACACACAAACACACACACACATACACGCGCACACACACACACACGCACGCACGCATGCACGCACGCACACACACACACACACACACACAAACACACAAACACACACACATACAAACACACACACAAACACACACACACACGCACACACACACACACACACACACACACACACACATCAGCATACTGTAAATACAGTGTTCAGATGCGGACGTCGGATTGATCCGATCAAACACAGAACAAAAGAAAACAAAAACCAGAAACAACCGATCAAGATAAGAGTTCAGACAAAACTCGTGTTCATATTTTTAAGAATGTCAAATAAAAACAAATGAAAAGCAACAGAGCTAGAGACGCAAAGAACATGTGGAGAATGAGCTACTCTTGGCGTAGAAAATAACCTTCGTTTCAATTTACAATGTCACATATGAAACTGAACTTGTCTGCACTGCCGGTCAATACTAATATTGGCCCTATTCCAAGTATTTGGACACTTGGCTTTATTCAGTCGCTTGTCCGCTGTCCGTAGTCTAAACATTAGCATGTGTGCAGACGCAAGCGCAAACACACACAAACACACACACACACACACACACACATACACATACACGCACACACACAAGGCAAAAGCCATAGCATTACACAACGTATGAGAAAAAGACTACATGTATCCCTGGGTTGTGTGGCTAGCGAGCCGTACAGGGGCACATACTAGAAGTACATGTACACCAAATTCTATTTTTAAACATTAGGGCCACGCATAGTTTTAAAATTCCATGTTTCGCGTCGACCATTTTCTGGAAAAGGCACGCGGGCGGGCGGAAAAAAAAACAAAAACAGTCGAAAAACAAGACCCAATTCTATGTGTACTGAGCCATGGTGCAGACAGAATATCACTGCTAAACTGTCCCTTAAGTACAAAATGGCAAAATGTCGCCACAGGAGAGCTTGCAGAGGGGGCTGGAGTGATACAATAATAGCAAAAGACTCCATGGATGGCTCCTTCAGAACTTTGACATGGGTCGAGTGGAGTTCCACTCCTTCACGATAGTGGAAAATCTCGAAGTCCTTGACACCTGGAATCGCCGCTCGCTTGGTGTGCAGGCCCTAGCGGCTTGGAAGGCTTGGAAAAATGGATACTTTCATCGCTCGCACCTTCTAACTTACCATCGTCTGAAATGCAAGATTGATAACCTTTGATCTCAGTGATCTGCCATACTGGCTAGAGAATGTTCACCAGAATAGCCATTGATTGAACGTCTCGGTTATTTTGTTATTGTCAACGATTCGAAAAGGTACACAGGCGGTGAAGCGAAACATAGAAATAACTTGGTGTGGCCTTATGTCCGCCGTCAAGCCATACGTGTACATTTTCTCAAGTTCAGTGACCGCAGTACCATTGCACCCCCCCCCCCCCTTCCCCCTTCCTACACTTCAATGAGTTCTCTGTTTTATCTCCAAATGTTTTATGTATTCAACTTCTCTGACTTATCCAAAATCTTTGTTACATCTCTCTATTCTCTCTGACTTCTCTTACTTTTTAATTCGTTTTTGTTGGCAAGTATGCATCATTCCCAATGAACATCTTCCAAACTACCATCACATAGTGATATGTCTAAGGCTCATGAAGTTGAATGGGGACAGAAAGACTGAAGAAAGTATTGACTTGCGCCGCCAGGATTCGAACCAGGAACCCTCGTTTATGGACAACATTGCTCGACCACTAATGGGCCATTCACACTACGCCTGTTTTCGTCCGGATAGCCATGACAACATGGAACGTGGCGGGAAAATCGCACCCCTGATACGAAAATGTAGACGACGTATCCAGACCCTGTACCGAGGTTTGTTCTGTCGTTCCCAGCAGTTTGTGTCCAAGAGAAGCTGTACACACAGCTGTATGAGCAACGTGTGCGTGCCTGTGTGAATGCACCAGCATGAAAATGACGTCTGCCAGTACGTCGTATTCCAAAACGTGACGCGTATCGTAACGTAGTAAATAGCCTATAAGCTCTGGTGCCGTGGCGAGCCCAGTAGCGACTGTTCACAACTTCCCTCGGACTCACTGAAGAGACTTCGAAATGCATTTGTACTAGTGTGTTTCAAAGTACTGGTGAAGCGTGGATGTAGCGAATCTTTCGGAACTATTTATGCATTTGCACTATGTTTGAGAGACTAAATTCAGCCAATTAAGCAATCCCGCGCATTCCCTTCTTTCGTGAAAGGATACGGCAGTTTCTTGACGAATTTGTGCTCCCATGTGGTTTGGCTGCCGTTCTTAATGTCACAAGATTGTCTTTGAGGTGGCCAGGCCCAAAGTCAACCCTGGGTTGTCATGGTTGGGTGCTCATAGTTTTCTTGACCAGCATGGATATTGCTTCGAACAGAATCAGTCTCTACAGGGATCAAATTGCACATGAAATTTCTGTTACCTCTGAAGCCTTGTTTAGCCTTCGAATTCTACATAGTCATTAATGAATATTGCTAACAACCGCTGAAAACTAGTGCTCAAAGTGTGCCAAAGATGTAAACGCCGTGTTATTCCAATCCCAATGGAGCTACTGCAATTTCCGCTACACATGGCAAAGTGCGTGCATGTGTATACGCTAGTATGTGCGCATGTGTTTGTGTCTGTATTTTGGTGCTGTGTGCTGAAACCGTACGCAACTATTGAAATCTCTTTAAAAGTGCATTCTTACCGTCTTCTTGCAGACTTGCATGCATACAGCATATACAGCCCCGGGAACGACTTCATTCTTCTGCATTGGCGATAGTGAAGACGCACGAATAGCTCCAGCATCTGTCATGTTCAGGACATAAGCAGTTCTCTCCTCCAATAAAAAGGCATTGCGATACCCTGCCTGAGGGGACTTATTCAGCAACTGCCTCAGGACAGACTTCAGACAGGGAACCTCGGAGGCTTTTGGCAGGCGGCGACCAACGGATAAGCAGGTTTCAAGATGGTCGGTGTAGGTTGAGCTGCGTGAGTTTGAACCGACTGCTTGTACATTGAAATAGGCATTCGTTACTAAGCACTGGTTCACTGCAAGCACAACATGGGACAGACAATGACACAAACGTGTTGTGTGTCTGTGTGTAAGCAATTCATAGACCAAGATGAGGGGTGGGTGGTGGGTGGTGGTCGTGGTGGTGGTGCTGGCGCTAGTGGTGCTGGTGATACTAGTGCTGGTGTTCGTGCTGGTCGACACAACGTGTTTATTACAATAATCAGAATGTGAGAACAACAATGGTCCGAGAACTCAAAGCATTCAAATATTACGAAAGGAAAAGTGTCAGCACCGACGCAATCCACACAGTCAAGTAATCCAATTTAGTAACCAAACGTTTTCGTTCCCTTCTCATCATGGGTAAGTACAGGAAATAATGGAAAAATGTCAAAATACAGCAACTTATGAGAGCTACAGCAAAAGCAAAGATCGAGAACCTCACGCTATACGTATGGAAAAAATAAAATTCAGCAGAACAGGTCCAAAAACAGGGTGAAGGTGAAGAAATGACTAAAACATAATGAAAACATCAGTGAGGAGAAGCATTCCTGACACTTTCACGAGGATTAGCGCCAAACAACTGAAGTGACAAAACATTTTCCTTCTGAACACATAGTTCAGGGGACAACTTCCGAATATTATTATAACGCTTCCAAAACACACTTGACAGTGTGGATTGCGTCGGTGCTGACACCTTTTCTGTCAAAAATGTATACGCCTCCAATTTTTTCCTTACATTCAAATATTAGAAAGGAAAGGGACATATGGATACGAGTTAAGAGTAACTCTCCATCACTGGATACTATATACAGTCAGAAAGTGCAATAACTAGGCACAAAACTGACAGAGTACTGAGACATTCAATGTCCTGACACCTAGCTTCACCACATCTTCGTAGCTCGTAGCTCGAATCCATATGTCCTTTTCCTTTCTACATTTATTTATGGCTCAACATCCGAGTTTCAAATTCAAATATTAGTTAGTGTTAGTGTTTTAATGCTGGCGCTGGTGCTGGTTCTGGTGCTGGTGCTAATATAATGGACATACCGGTGCCTTGTACTTGTAGAGTGCTGGTGTTTACAGTGCTGGCCACCACACACACGGTGCGCTACCAAGTATTGGTCATTAGACTGGTTAGTCTCATACATGTACATGTACAGCCATAGTTATCATATTGGTGGTGAATATTCACTATGAGATGACAATCTAAAAACTTTTTAGATTGTCATCTCATAGTGAATATTAATAATAACACCCGCCGCTCAGACATGCATGTGTGGCCATACAGTACGATTTTGCTACTTACATTTCCTGCACTGCTGCTCTATTCCGTAGGGATTATTGAAGTCTGGCGTGGTAAGGCTCCATCCCAACAAAGCATTGCAAGCTAGATATCCACGAGGTGTGTACCCATCATCACATGTGGGCAGCACAGTACGGCCTGCTGGTCCAGCAGGTATGACACCATTAGCAATACTTGTTTTCGGGCACCGGAGATCTGCGGACACCAGGGTAAAAGGAAAATCTGACTCAGCAGAAGACCCAACACCTGGAGTAGTATCCACAACGATATGCACAATTAGTCTGCCCATACAAGACACACAAATGTAAAAACAAATTCACGGTTCCCGTCAGACTCGGCTAGAGACCGAGTTTTTTGCGTCCGTAGCAACGCCATCACCCTTCAAGGATCAAGGCGCAGATGCAGCTCCTAAAGCGGTGGGAGGTGAGTAGATCAAGTGTAGTAATCATAATAACGTGAAAATCGATTTTGGATAATATTTGTTTCTAATTCCTTTTTAAAATCCGTTGTTGTTTGGCTATGTCTGCATCAATTATATTCTTTATTGCACTTACAAAATTGCTTTCATGCCAACAATGCAACAGATACGCCACTTACGATCGGAACACAAGCCCTCCGTTCGTTCCCAGCCGTTCGCTGTACATTGTACCTTCCTCGTCGAGTGGTGACCCTCATCACATGTGGCAGTGGCCGACAGATCCACAAATGTAGCAAGCAAATTGCCATTTTCCACTCTCATTTCAGGGCACTCATCTGATAAACGAGCACAAGGAAAAATCGTGAATTAAGGCCTATGTAGGGAACAGCATGTATCAATACTATCATGAACAAGGAACCTCCAAAAATCAAGCGATTTATAAAAGTAATATTTCTGTAGAACCATCAGAAAACCAGGGATTTGTAATATGTGCTAGTACATGTATCTTGAGAACCATTAGAAATCTTGAGATTTTTCAAATGCGTAAACATGAGATCTCTAATGATGTAGCAGGTAGTTTCTCATTGTTTCTCGATGACTGCAATACTCAAGTGATGGCAACATTACATTATTATCTTCTTCTTTTTCTTCTTTTTCTTCTTTTTCTTCTTTTTATAACCGTTACTATGTGCTCATCCCTACAAAGTAATGGGGTAATGAAAGAGACAAAATACGAAGACAAGAAAGGAGTAGTAGGTGCTACAAGAGCTGTGCTGGTCAGGCACAGTGCACTTCTCCGACCATTCCCGTCTCGGAATCAACATGGACTGTGCCGGGGACAAGTCTCCTCTCATCTTTGCTGTGGTTGAAATTCTCTGTCACCAACACCACAGAGGTTATCTCTGCGGAGAGCACAATCAGTGGGAAGCTGGCAACTTCTCTGGTAGCCACAGTACGCCCTCCGTCTTTTCATGATGTTTTAAGTTCTCCTACATGTAAATATGCATGTACCTGCTTTCAAATATTTTCTGAATTTTTGTTTAATGCAGCGAATGCCGAATTGCGCTTGTCTAATATGCGTGTGCCTCTTTAAACGGTTCAAATGACTTCCGCTTGTTGCACGAGAGAAATGCCTGTCTATTTTCCGAAACAGTGCAACAACTTGATAATATGGGGATAGACAGCAGCTTTCAGCCTACTATGATCAACGAAATGATTCGAACTAGGTGTGAATGAGGTCGGCCAGACAGCACGTGTAGCTACAATGTATGAGAAGAAACCACCCTGAATCACCGCTGCCATAAATAGCTGTGAAAACTAGCAGAGAAACATTTGATGGAGAGACAATTGACTTACATCGAATGCACTTGTAACTGCCCTTGCTGTTAACACATTCAGTGCCCTCTGGGCAAGGTGCATCCGTGAATTTGCATTCATTCCAATCTGAGCACAGGAAATGCAGTGAAGAGAGAGAACGAGAGAGAGAGAGAGAGAGAGAGAGGGAGAGGCAGAGGGAGAGAGAGAGAGAGAGAGAAAATGACTCACACTGTTTGTATTTAACGCAATAAATAGAGTAAGCTGCGCACTCAGTACAAACACCATCAGCAAAACTATTGCGTTAATTACCTTCCTATCTCCACGTACACTTTTTGTATTGTTTATTTTATTTTATTTACTACATCACCAGAAAGATTCTCCAAAATATAGGAGTTCCCTTGAAACACGATCTTTCGCACTTTCAGGTGCGCTAGCTGAAACACGAACTTTCACATCTTTCCATCCTAAACGCAGTAGGAACATGAATGGCGGATTCGGATCCGAATAGTGATGACTGTAGGCCTTGTTATGTGACATTTTCAGAACCATGCCGGGCTTTTGAGGGGAAATCTTTGAATGCTTCTCCTCTAGAATCTCCATACCAACATGCACGAGAATTTCCACCAGAGCAAGTAGCCAATTCGGCCGGCTTTCTGCAAGCAGTGTCTACATAGGGCTGTTAAATGCAAGCAATAGGAGGACAGAGAAAGTGTTTTAGAAAAACACTTTCTCTGTTCTCCTATTGTTTGAACCAGCTCTACCACTTGGTATTGAGCACTCTCTTGGACAGCCTGGAACCTCTCTGTTTTATAGGGCTGTTAAATGTACGATTCAGGAATGTAGGAGATCTGAACGTCATGCCTACATGCATTACGTATGCTAACCCCATCCCAAAGCGCACTGTGCCTTCTTTGTTTCTAGTTAGACTTGCATTGAAAACGGAGGTCAAAGAAGAAATTAATCTCGTTACGATAAAGAAAGGTAAAGGACAAAACGTTACGAGTTATGACAAACTGTCCACCAACGTAACCAGATCTTATACAGTCAGCAAGTGCGACAAAATGGCACAAAACTGCCAAGGAGTACCGAGACATTTTACTGACTGTATAAGATCTGGTTACGTTGGTGGACAGTTTGTCATAACTCGTAACGTTTTGTCCTTTACCTTTCTTTATCGTAACTATATTGGCTCACCATCCGAGTTCTAATCTCGTTACATCAGTAATAATCGGTTACATCATATACTTGTACATGTACTTGCCAGAAGAGAACTCGGCCCTTAAAATACCGTTTGAGATACACTTGAATTGAAACCGTGATTTGAAACACAAACACTGCTAACTCCTAGGTATATAGTGTACGTACCTTTTGCACAAATGAAGGCGTGCGTTGTTTGATTGGTCTCTACAATGGTGTCATTGGTCCCAATATCAATAACACGCATTGAGTTGTGTTTTTCTTTTACCCATACGTGGCGTATTCCTTGCTTTTGAAGACCGGATAGCTGGTCCTGGATTTCAGGGAGCAAATAATTTTAACACAAACACACATGAAACCCTACGTAAGAAAACTTGAAAACCTAATAGTGCCTCTGCGCGCACACACACACACACACACACACACACACACACACACACACACACGCACACACTCAGTGCGGAAGCAGAGCAGTAACACACGAGCCACAGAGTTGTCTGAAGATTGCCATCTGGCATGAAACGTTTAGTTACAACAATCCAGACGCGTGGTACTCTGTGACTCGTGTGTCATTCGAAAGCATTTTAAAACCATACTGAAGATCCGTAGAGTCAAGTATAATTTGGCACATACGAAATACCACCTACTTCAAGTACACACACCTACCGTGTAGCAGGCAGACCTAAGCAGCCGACGATGATCCCTCATCCGGAGAACATCAATCTGTTGCTCTTTGCAGGCCTCTCGGGCAGCGCGGAACTCGATCGGCTGGCTGGTGATGCTTACGTTGAACCCCCGGCAGTAAAACGTCGAACCTTAACAGTGAGCAACAATTCACAGTACACGTTGACTTTCAGTGGTATGAATCGCAGCTAGTACATGTTGGTTGGTTGGTTGGTATATTTTATTTTACTTCGCCAGAAGGAACAGGCATTGCTGCCTTCTTGCCTGGACAAGTGGATTGTCCAAGCTCTCACAAAAAGACGAAGAAAGGAAAAAATATTACATGAGAGTGTGTAGCATGCAATCTTATAAGAGAAAATTCCCGGATGATGAGAGTGTGACGTATGTACTTGTAGTACATGCGAAACTTGAGGCAAGAAAAAGGAATGCTTGCGGTGTACAGTCAGAATTATGAGATTTACATGTACATGTATGGATGGGATACAGATTTTATGCTGCACTGCAAATAGATTCCGCAGAAACTAAAAAATTGCAGTTGCAGTTTGTCAAAAGTGTTGCTTGTCGTCCATAGCCTGGCAGAGAATGATACTGTGACTCGTGCTTGATAGTAGCAAAGAAATACAGTCATGTACTGACTCTCTTTGCACACCGGTGTCCTGGCCATATTTGGGGCTAACGAGAATTTTTTGCATGTTACCGATTGATGCTTTTGAATGCACTATGGCAGATCAGTCAAAAAGAGATACAACAGCAGCCACCGCTGAAACTATAGGTTAACACCGACCGAGACCCCAGCATCTGCAATAGTAATGTGCTGCTACACAAGAAAGTCCTCCAGTTCACGCCATCGCTCAGCTAACGTGTGATCCAATCCTGCATGAGTTACGGGTACATAGACTAGGCCTTTGCGGATTATGCCGGCAGAAAAATTGGCAGAATTCGGTGCTTTTTCTGGTAAGTTTCATGCATGTTTGGTATGTGGATAAAGAAATGGAGCAGAATTCGAGGAATTGTCCGCCATAAGGTTTGTATGGTTCTGCCAATTTCACTGCTTTTCGAGCAGAATATGCCACCTTTTCGAGCATTATCCGCCAATGCCTAACATGGACACTTTTGCCCCGTGATCTGGCAGAGGTATAGGGTCAGAAAGGATGTCCACTGAGCGGGTTGGAAGTATTTTGGTTGAATGATTGAAATGGGAATGAGGTAAACTTCAAACTCAAGGTAAACAGTCAGGGGAAGTGAACTGCCTGAAAAGAGAAAAAAATGCCAAATCCACTGGGACTCGAACCCGGGACCTTGCTTTGTCATGAGCAGTGCTCTAACCAACTGAGCTATGGGACCAGGCCAAACCTAGAAGGGCTCGAGTCCTGGTGGGTCTGGCATTTTTCTCTCTTTTCCGGCAGTTCACTTCCCCTGACTGGTTGAATGATGCAAGTGCTAATATGAGCATGTTGTCTGGTGCAAGTGTATGGGTGTTGATCAGTCCTAGTGCCAATGTACCAGCTGGCACCAGTACGCAAACGCTTATAGAACATGGTTACGTTCGCTGGGTGGAAGGACATCATTCCTTCCTGTCTTCTTCCTGCCTGTTTTCACTTGCCCATGGTTTTCATCATGCTGCATTACTATCTACTCTTCACTCATGCCACTGCAACTGTACATGTACATCATTCAATGTGGTGAACACTAGGCACTGGCGGATAATGCTCGAAAAGGTGGCAGATTCTGCTCGAAAAGCAGTGAAATTGGCAGAACCGTACAAAACCTTATGGCGGGCAATTCCTCGAATTCTGCTCCATTTCTTGATCCACATACCAAACATGCATGAAACTTACCAGAAAAAGTACCGAATTCTGCCAATTTTTCTGCCGGCATTATCCGCAAACTTAGGCGCAAAGGCCTAGTGAACACCTTCATAGGCGACCAGCCTCAGGGTAATCCTATAGTAAGATAATATTTTTAGACTGGGTACACATGCACATTATGGTATAGATAGGTTTTGGTCCTATTGGAATCCACACATTTGGTACCCCACGTTACTACCACACATGCTGGCACTCATGACACGATTTTTTCTTTAGTTTTTGTTTTGTACCTGCTTGTTTTGGCACCAATATTTTTTTTAATACCATGTAGCACGGTGTACTGTGATCTTGATCTTTTCGAATATCAGTACAGTACTTCCGTACAATGCATATTCACTGGTTTGAGGGAAAGATGTAAACGGGAAACGTCTGAAGAAAAAATAACCTGTCACCACCAGACAATGCATCTATCTCTACACGACTGCAAACTGTTAACCCTTACCGGATTTGAAACTCGGATGTTTAACCAACAACAAAATTAATGATCAAGAGGGAGATCCTGATGATCGAAACAGCTGCTGTCTGAAGGAGCAGAGTACCAACTGAAGTATCGTTTTGCTGATGGTGTGCTGTGGCAACGTGTTGAGGTGTGGTGTGGTGGTTGATAAGAAACAAAATTAATGTGAAAAGGAAGAGCCCATATAGATAGGATGTAGGACAATTTTTCTTCAGTCTTTTCCGTTTCAACTCCATCAAACTGACGATCATCATAACATATTTTTTTTAAAAGAAGTCCTGAAGGGCCTGCTCACCTTGACATTCCGTCGGTAACAAACAACTGACAGCAGCGAAAGCGAGCAGGACTAGCGACGGAAGCATCGGCACGGACATGCACAAGTTACCACGCGACATGTTTGCCTGCATAGGACCAATGTCAAGGAGTTAAGGACCACAGTAACACGAAAATACAACGGCACCCTTGAGTAAGATACTAAGACCAACAGTTACTACTATAACAGCCTCAGAACAACCTGACAAAAGCAGATCACCAGAATCAACTCAAGACTAGGTCCTCATCTGCCATCTAGCATGCCGGGTACCCAAATGACCCGTGAGCAACTTACTAAATCAGTAGCACGTCGTGGATCTTTGAAACAGGAAGGAGAACACTCTTCGATGACAGCTGGAAGCGAGAGTCCTTGAGATGCCACCTCACGATGAAGCGAAAATATCTGCAATGGTTTTTGGTCCTCGCCAGTTTATATGCTTGGTTGGCGAGTGGAGGCCTTCACGCGGAGCCTTTGCTACAGACGCCAATTTTGTACTTCGCTTCGCGAGAAGGGCTCCCTTATACGGCTGGCTGCACCGGTGGACGCCTTGATCTCGGCGCAGCCTACACTGTATATGGATAGTGGGGCCAAACATGGTGTCGGTGTTGGACAATGGCTGCGTGAGCCATCCTGTATAGAGGTTATGCGATAACGTCAAATCCGCCATATATAGGAGCCCATTGGGGTGGCAAAATGCCCAAAGCGCGTACAGAAACCCCTTATGTAGAAGAATTTGGGGTGGCAAACGTACTGTATGACGTGTATCGCATAACCTCTTATGCACTCGTTACAGCATCAAGCAATCATGCCCGGTTCCTACTACTGGCTCCAGCTCCCGCATCGCAATACATGCACCACGACATAAACTTGAGTCTCAGTTGAGGTTCTTCAACAACATTCGAGATTGCCCGCAACCATACTGTCAATCAAACCTTTCGTTCAGTTGATGTACGGGCAAGAGAAAACGCCTACGAACAAAAGAGGTTCAGTATCTTGTAATATACCCTATCTTGTGGAACAGTGGAAGTAACATTTCGCTGTTGGCAAAAGGAAGTTTTCTATCCGAGGTAGTAAAATAAAAGTTAATAATAATATAATAATAGTTACAGTTCGCATGTCACTCATGGAAGGATCCATGGGCTTAACGCATCTGTCAACGAAATCCAGGCAGAAGAGCCGACAAAAGGCATCTCATTATTGTTAGAACGTATCGCAGTAAGAACAACTACGCAAGCGCAGCACATTTTTCCACAAGCATCAGCCATTCTTTCTTGTCTAGAGCCAGTTCAAAACAGTCAGAAATATCAATATTGGCGTGCTTTAGATCATTTAAAAAAGTTAATAATAATAATAATTCAAACAGTAGTTTGGAGGCGGAAAACAGTTTCGTAATAAGTATTCGCATGCAACGACGCAAATCCACACAATTCAGTAGACACTTCTTTTCTATCAAACGTTTTCTTTCCCTTCTCTTCAGGATAGTACAAAGAATGTTGGAATGTTACACCTTTCTATTTACAGTACTTAACTTCAGTTTCTTTGGTTGTATCCTTAGTTCCGTTTTTCCCTCTGATGATAGGAACGAGAAAATCGATTCTGGGTTTTCAATAATATTTTTGTTATAAAATACACAGTAATACATGTCAAACAAGTAACGTAGTTGCGTGGTGTCTGCGGCCTTCATCCTATTCATAGCTATAATAATAATAATAATAATAATAATAATATTGACTGATTTGAGGGAAAGAGACAAACGGGAAAAGTCTGAAGAAAAAATTGACTGTCACCACCAGGACTCGAACCAGGGACCCTCGCTTGTAGCCAGCGATGCTCTAACCACTGAGCTATGGTGTAGTCGTCATCCCAGCAGAGGCCGTTCAACATTTTCTTCAATAATAATAATAATAATAATAATGTAGAAGAGAAAAGGCCATATGGATACGAGTTAAGAGTAACTCTCCATCACTGTAACATGATACTTTATACAGTCAGAAAGTGCAATAACTAGGCACAAAACTGACAGAGTACTGAAACATTCGACGTCCTGACACCTAGCTTCAACACATCTCCGTAGCGCTAACCGACAGCCTTCCAACTTGGAAGGTTCAAGGTTATGGAAAGACCAAAGAGGGGAAGGCAAGCGCAACGAAAACGAGCAAAAGCTACAGTCCCAACGGAACAAAGAATGTCGATTGTTACTGGACGATGACGAGACCAGTACGATATTTGACAAAGCGGTCTAACTACAATTCGAAGCAGCAAAGCAGCACACCACCCAACTTGGGTGGGTCATAAATATCAAAGATAAGTAAAGAAAGGGAAGCTTTGCGAAAACGAATTGTACAAGCCGAAAGCCAAACTCCTACAGTACTCCTCATGCATGACATTGTGATGGACTAGTTGACTACAAAACAAGTTGTTTCACACGACGTACGTTTCGCCGTATGGTTCGTGACGGCTCATCAGGTGTGCAATATGAAACTCGGATGTTGAGCCATAAATAAATGTAGAAGAGAAAAGGCCATATGGATACGAGTTAAGAGTAACTCTCCATCACTGTAACATGATACTTTATACAGTCAGAAAGTGCAATAACTAGGCACAAAACTGACAGAGTACTGAAACATTCGACGTCCTGACACCTAGCTTCAACACATCTCCGTAGCGCTAACCGACAGCCTTCCAACTTGGAAGGTTCAAGGTTGGGGGGGGGGGGGGAAGTTGGAAGGCTGTCGGTTAGCGCTACGGAGATGTGTTGAAGCTAGGTGTCAGGACGTCGAATGTTTCAGTACTCTGTCAGTTTGGTGCCTAGTTATTGCACTTTCTGACTGTATAAAGTATCATGTTACAGTGATGGAGAGTTACTCTTAACGTATCCATATGGCCTTTTCTCTTCTACATTTATTTATGGCTCAACATCCGAGTTTAATAATAATAATAATAATAATAATAATAATAATAATAATAATAATAATAATAATAATAATATTGACTGGTTTGAGGGAAAGAGACAAACGGGAAAAGTCTGAAGAAAAAATTGACTGTCACCACCAGGACTCGAACCAGGGACCCTCGCTTGTAGCCAGCGATGCTCTAACCACTGAGCTATGGTGTAGTCGTCATCCCAGCAGAGGCTGTTCAACATTTTCTTCAGACTTCGTAACTCACACTTCCTGTGAATCCACACAGGCGGGTGGGACGCAGCCCTCACTGTAACCCACACACTTCACGTACAAACTAGCACGCGGGGAGCCCCAAGTCATAAAATATTGACTGGTTTGAGGGAAAGAGACAAACGGGAAAAGTCTGAAGAAAAAATTGACTGTCACCACCAGGACTCGAACCAGGGACCCTCGCTTAATAATAATAATAATAATAATAATAATAATAATAATAATAATAATAATAATAATAATAATAATAATAATAATAATAATAATAATAATAATAATAATAATAATAATAATAATAATAATAATAATAATAATAATAATAATAATAATAATAATAATAATAATAATAATAATAATAATAATAATAATAATAATAATAATAATAATAATACGAAGTAGTGGTTGCGACTTCGGCGATGATTTTGTAAGAAAGGTTTGCTCCCCACACCGGTGCTCGCGCTATTCCGCCGTGTCGTGAGTCAGTCAAGTGTCAAGTAAAGTCGGCGGAATAGCGCGAGCTCCGGTGTGGGGAGCAAACCTTTCTTAATAATAATAATAATAATAATAATAACCTTACTCTCTACCTTACTTTTTTTCCATATATTATTCCGTGCTGCTTACCTTTGGCTATGATAAGTCCGGTGAGTTAGTGTAATACCTCCAATTTTTATTTTTGTTTTCAATTTGGAGTGGAATAAAGACTCATAATAATAATAATAATAATAATAATAAGGAAGATCTCAATTGCTTAGTATATGTTGCTGCTCGATGTTCCTTGACCAGATGTGGCATTTCCTTGTCTGAGACGAACGGTGAAAACGCTAGCGGCAAGCCGGCGAGCTCGCGACCACTGGAACCGACTTGGTTAGTAAAATCGCGCAACAAAGCGAAGAAATTACGGGCAGATATATCTCGACTAACAATGATGTTGAAAAACCCTGCTGTCAAGCACCAACGGTTCTTTACTCAGTACGGAATATCCAACACTTCCCAGATTGGATACGCCCTGGAACAGAGGAAGCTGGAATTGCTTGCGCTAGCGGAGAGGACAAGACGTGATAAACACATCTGGGAGAGCAGGAGAGCTAACACACTATTCCGCACAAATGAGAAAGAATTCTACCGTCGACTGAGAAAGGAACCGGAGCAGCAGCATCCCGGGGAAATACCGAGTGAGGGTGCCGTATTCGAGTTCTGGTCTGGTATACTAGCCAAGCCTGTGCCGTTTGATGAGTCATCAGGGTGGTATCAAGAACAAAGAGTGGAATATGAGACTACCATTGCAGAGGATGAACCCGTATCTGTGACTCAACAGGCACTCCAGGACACGCTAGCTAAGGTCAGCAGGTGGAAAGCTAGTGGTGTAGACGCAATTCATGGTTACTGGTGGAAAAAATTATCTAATCTACACATTGCCCTGCGAATCGCCTTCCAGAAGACCCTTGTCGGTGATTGGCCAATTCCGGAATGGTTGGTGACTGGCCGCACAATCCTGCTGCCCAAGACGGAGCCACCCACATCTAACCCAGCCCAATATCGCCCTATCACTTGTCTACCCACACAATACAAGATCCTGACAGCCGTAGTTGCTAGTCTCATGTGGAAACACATTGACACCAATTCGATACTCCCAGATGAACAGAGAGGGTGTACCCCGGGAACACTAGGCTGTAAGGAGCAACTTCTTGTCAATAAGATGATAATGGAGCACGCTCGGCATAATAAGCGCAATATCTCTGTTGCGTATATCGACTTCAAGAAAGCCTATGACAGCGTTTCTCATGTATGGATTATTCGGATGCTGGAGATGTACAAATTTAGCCCAGCTCTTGTCAAGTTCTTGGAGGCAAGCATGCAGCTCTGGAATACGCACATGAGTTTATCATATCAAAATGCACGGGTCTCTACAGAATCTGTCAGGATTCGCCGTGGTATCTTCCAAGGAGACACGCTATCACCCCTCTTGTTTTGCTTAGCTATTAACTGCATTTCAAGAGAGGTGCAGAAGACAGGCGGCGGATATCAAATGCAAATTGGACAGGTCTCAAAGGTCGTTTCTCAACTCCTGTACATGGATGACATTAAATTGTATGCCAAACATCGCAACCAGCTGAAGCCCATGATCAACGTCGCCCAGATCACAGCTTTGGCCATTGGCCTGGAGTTTGGTGTTTCGAAGTGCGCCACGCTTCATGTACACCGGGGAGTACTTGAGTCAAGTGATGCGGAGCCTGTCGAAACACTGTTGGGTATGGCTTTACCCACCCTGCAAGAAGATAACATGTACAAATACCTCGGATTCATTGAATCGGCTGCGCTGCCGCATGGTGAGATAAAGAGCAAGCTTCGTGAGGATTATAGAAAGCGATTAGATGCGATCTTCAAGTCTGGATTAACGGCTGGATATTTAGCAAAGGCAGTAAACACATACGCGGTGCCACTGCTCACCTACAGCTTTGGCATCATCAACTGGCGACCCGTAGAATTGGAGCAGCTGGATATCTTGCTCAGGAAGAAGCTCACCAAGAAGGGATGGCATCACCCTCGGGCTGACAGAGAGAGGGTTCATTTGGTGCGCGCCGAAGGCGGCCGTGGATTCCAAAGTGTGGTAGATCTACATGAACGATCCATCATCCAGATTAATAAATACATCGAGGGCCACCAAGACCACATTGCCATTGCTCTCCTAAAACAGTACCATCATAAAAAAGCAAAATACTCTGTCTCCAGTGATGCTGCGAAATATTTGGCAAAGATTGGTATGGAGGAGTCAGCCACAAAGGAGCAAATACGCCAGGGATACCAGCGGCATCGGGAGGAGACAATCAGAAAGAAGCCTCTGCATGGCCAATTTTGGCTTATGCTGCAGGATGCTGAGCTGGATCGAGGGCTCTCCTTTGCGTGGTTGCGGTCTTCCGCTTTGCGTCCGGCGACAGAGAGTATTGTCATGGCCATACAGGACCAGGCTATCCCAACACGGAACTTACAAGAGATATTTAATCGAGGAACAGGTGTGTCAACGAAAACGAGTTGCAGGATGTGTGGCAGGGACAAGGAAACGGTTTTCCACCTTATTGGAGCGTGTACAGCTTGTGCGGGGAGTCACTATGTCAATCGCCACAACAGGTTAGCAAAATATCTCCACTGGACATTGTGCAGGAAGTATGGTGCATCGGACATTTCGAATAAGTACACAAGTCACCAACTCACCAACGTCGTGTACAGTGCTGAAACGGATGTGTCAATCTACTGGGAAGTGCCAATTCCAACAGCAGCGCCCGTTGGAGCAAACAGACCCGACATTATTATCAAGGGCAAAGATGAAGCGTTCCTTGTGGACGTAAGTGTCCCTCTGGATAGGAACATCCGCCGAAAATCTGTGGAAAAGATACAGAAATATCAAGGCCTGAAGCGTGAGGTGGAGCAGATGTGGCAGGTGCGGGCCAAGATCGTGCCAGTAATTGTGGGGGCATTAGGTGGATTAACCCCCTCGACTGCTGACTTTGTGAGGGAACTGGATGCCGGAGCCAGTGTATCGATCTTGCAAAAGGAGGCGCTCCTTGGCACAGTTGACATCATCAGGTCAATAACTCAGATGAAATAATAATTACACTCTAATAAGTTACATTGGTTTGCGAATGCCCATGGTTCGAACTATTAGTTGAAGCACCTATTTGCAGAAAATAATAATATTATGATCGTAATATTAATCACTTGCCAATAACAAAGACAACAATAATACCATCAGCCCCCATTCACCGGTTTTGACGGTGCTTCACTGATGTTGAATGAGAAGAATTATATTGCTGCCTTCAGTGCTATTGTGTCGCTGAAGGGCTGGATTTTGTTTTCTGATTTAGCTCTCTTGCTATTACTGTACCTGCTTGTGTTAAGTCTCATTCTCGCAGATTAGTTGTATAATAGATTGTACATGCATCATTGTAGATTTGCTGTTCACAGTATTTCTCTCTTTTTTCTTTCTTTTTTCTCAGTCTTCCTTATTACATTTTCTTCACATACAACAGCAGTACTCCCCATGGTCTTAAATGACCCGGGATGCTGCATAATACAAACACAAAACCAATAAAGCCACCCCCATAATAATAATAGGTCCGAGGAGAGAGAAAGAGATTATCCTGTTCCCAAAATTATGATATGAAACCGATGTGAGAGGTGGATTAGTTCCGAAGAGTTTGGAATAGCTAGGTCGAGATTGCCGATCTGATCTGACGTCATTGCCGCCATGACAATTCCACTCCCATCGGATGAGGTTGTGGAGTTTCGAGGAGTTTCGTTTTCTGAAGAGACCAATAAGGCCACCACCTGTTCAGAAAAACGAAACTCCTCGAAAAGTCAAAGAGGGACAATTCGAACGCGCCCTTAGTCCGAGCTTGTATGGTGCTTGTATGGTGTAGTGTAGAGTCGAACAAACCACACAGTTTGGTAGACATGGTACATGGTACATGTACTGCTAGTAATACAGTGCTGGCAACTGACATCCGACCCCTGAGCGGTGCGCTCACATCGCAAAGACCCAACACGGGATGGTAAAACTACGAAACAGAGACCGCTAGAATGTCAGGTGGTCGGATTTCAGTTGTTGCCAGCACTGTAGTTACTAGAAACCCTGGTATTGTCTACATCTGAGCAGCACTCTGCAGCAGTCTTGGTCTCATGACATGAAACTCGCAGTCAGACGCAGAGACTCTATAATAGTATTAGTACTATTAGGGCGCGTTCGAATTGTCTTCATCAACTGTTCAAACAAATTTTATAAAGAGATTACCGTATTTCCCCGTAAGTTAGTTCTCCCCAATGACTTAGTACCCCCCTATAAAAAATACACTTTTTCACTGCCGAGGTTATCACCCCGAAAGACAGTTCCCCCGAAAGATAGTAAGTTCGTACCCGTCCTACATGTAAAGACACCGTACAGTACATACATCATATGCACAGACACTAGAGTTGCGCAGGCTTCCCACTACGTCTCTCTCTCTCTCTATCTCTCTCTCTCTCTCTCTCTCTCTCTCTCTCTCTCTCTATCTATCTATCTCTCTCTCTCTCTCTCTCTCTCTCTCTCTCTCTCTCTCTCTTTCTCTCTCTCTCTCTGTCAGGGACCTACGTAAGCTGAAGCATGACCAACCTATTATTATTATTATTATTATTATTATTTGCATTTGTTTTTTTCTGATCTTCTCTTTGTCATTTCTGTTGCATTCTCAGAAGCTCCCATAAGTCTATCATTCATAGTATACCCCCTTGGCCCGCACAGTCCATGTCGATTCCGAGACCGAAATGGTCGGAGGAGTGCACTGCGCCTGACCAGCACAGCTCTTGTAGCACCTACTACTCCTTTGTTGTCTTTGTCTTTTGTCTTTGTCTCTTTTATTACCCCTATTACTTTGTTGGGATGTGCACATACTGAGTAGTATATAAAAATATATATAAAAAAGTGTCATTTACCCCCGATAAAAAAGTACTCCCCGAAAGATAGTACCACCCCCGAAAGTTAGTACTCATGTGGCTGCTAAGTTCGAAAGTTAGTACGTACTAACTTACGGGGAAATACGGTAGTTGAAGTGTCCCATTTTGGCATTAGAACGGTTTCTATCATTTTAGAGTTTTTCAGTGGAATTGTCATGGCGATGATGACGTCCGATCAGATCGACCATCTCCACGCACTACGTGACGTAGCTATTCCAAACTCTTCGAAACTAATCCACCTCTTCCGTCGGGTGAGGTTGTGGAGTTTCGAGGAGCTTCGTTTTTGTGAAGCGGCCAATACTCAGGGCGCGTTAGAATTGTGCGTTGCTATCATTTTAGAGTTTTTCAGTGGAATTGTCATGGCAATGATGACGTCCATTCAGATCGACCATCTCCACGTACTACGTGACGTAGCTATTCCAAACTCTTCGAAATTAATCCACCTTCCCATCGGATGAGTTTCGAGGAGCTTCGAGGAGCTTCGTTTTTCTGAAGAGGCCAATAAGGCCACCTCTTCAGAAAAACGAAGCTCCTCGAATTGTCACTCTTTGACTTTTCGAGGAGCTTCGTTTTTCTGAAGAGGTGGCCTTACTGGCCCATTCAAAAAAACGAAGCTCCTCGAAACTCCTCGAAACTCATCCGATGGGAAGGCGGATTCATGGATTAGGATTAGTTTCGAAGAGTTTGGAATAGCTACGTCACGTAGTACGTGGAGATGGTCGATCTGATCGGACGTCATCATCGCCATGACAATTCCACTGAAAAACTCTAAAATGGGACACTTCAACTAATCTCTTTATAACATTTGTTAGAACAGTAACTTGATGAAGACAATTCGAACGCGCCCTAAGTAAGGCCACCTCTTCAGAAAAACGAAGTTTTCTAGGGGCTCCCGTAAGAAGACCATAGGTCTGTGGGAAACACCCTAGTAAAATACATAAAATAATAATAATAAGCTCCTCGAAAAGTCAAAGAGTGACCAGGTGACAATTCGAACGCTCTTGCCAAATCTTGGCTCTCAGTCTCGATCTTCTGAGCGGGAGTAACCGTAGGAACGAGGTACGGAACGAAAGCGCGCTACCATGAATGATTGTAGCTCTAGACGTCTAGTACTTTAGTAGTAGTATCTAGTATAGGCTAGAGTAGCTACAGCTGTGACAGTGTGAGTGCAAAGACACGCGTAGACTCTACGCATGATCCAGCTACAAAGCACGATGTAGCTAGCTGTCAACCATGCCATGCCGTGGACCACGGCATGCATGGCATGTTGACGAACACATTATTTTTGGGAAAAATCACACCTTCGCCCGCGCGGCTTCGAATCGAAGCCACCTCCGAACTGCTACATTATAACTACAGTCAGTCAGTAGTCGTGTTCATGACTTGATTGTATCGTACTGTAGCATGCGCAGTTCGGAGGTACTAGGTGACTTCGAAGCCGCGCGGGCGAAGGTGTGATTTTCCCAAAATGTGTTCGTCAAAATGACCCTGACAGTTGACAGAAAATGTACGATTGAGGCTTCTTGCTAGCGAGTGAGTGAGTAAAAAGAACAAAGCGCAGGGTATCAGATCCTCTCCTCGTGCTAATCATTTCACGGCTGAAGTGCTTGCCAATTTTGCAGTTCACTATTGTTGTCTTGACGAAACAGTTTCCCTCCGCATGATAAAATTTAATACTTCCCCGCTGCCAAAATTTAATACTCCTTTCCAGTCTGACAATATTCCTGAGCTAGGCCGTGTGACAGCTCTGAACTCGTTCCTCTTCGCTATTTCAAGTTCCAGGCCAGGTGAGGCAGTAGTAGCGGCAAAAGTGCACCTGGCGTTTCGAATTTTGGCCTTCTCCGTTCTGTTGAGCGAGTTGAGTGGGACGGGCGGGAAAATAGGAGTCGACTGAAAAGCGTGGTTGACGACTCCACAGCTCCGCAGAGGAGAAGCTCGCAGCAGCAGTTCGACCATGGCGGAGTTAGAAGGAGACGAACCAGGTGCGTGACTAGTTTTTCATTCAAGGTTTTCTGGTGCGGTATGCTCTCCTTTGTGGTTCCTTTGTAATTGTGTGCTGGATATCGGCTTGTTTTTTATTTTACTTTTTATCTTCGGCCAGCATGGCTGTATTCCTTTCATCCTGGGGGTGAGACGTGGAGAAGTAGCCGTACTGGGGTGTGAGCCCACCTATCGGTAGGGTGTTGCTCCATGTCAGTGCTGCCCAGCCCAGTTCTGCGGCACGGATAGTATCAATGGGCACAAAGCCGTCGTTGCCGTAGATTCTAGGTGTCGTTCTGTCGTTCTCGACAGCTTGGCAGCATAATAATTATAATAATATTAATTTTTGTTTGTGTTTGCCCCGGAATGGCGTGACAGAGCGGTGTTGTCGTCTGGCTTTTACAAACCCGAAGCGGTATTCCATTGCATAATTATTATTGTACCTCCGTCGACAGCACTGCAGTGTGCCGGACTGGGTGTACTTATCGCTGACCGAATGGGCTGACACTGTCTGCACATAGTGGTTGTAGAAGCCGCAGTATCGTGTGGCGGTGTCATGGTGCGTTCATTGCAACTGAGCTCGTGCTTGAAATAATTGCGCAGTCGAATCTGAATAGTAGCGGGCATCCAAGGGATTCAATAGACCTGGTTAGCATTTTACCGTTCACGCTAAATCCAACGGCACTCGTACCCAACACCCAAAATACCGTCGGTTTGGCATCGTTTCGACGATAGAAAGCTCTGTTTAGCGGGAGAACGGAATGATAATATTCCAACTAGGGCTACGTCACAAGTCGATCGGTGTGCCAGAAACCGAAATGCTAACCATGTCTTGAAAACACACAAAAAACGGTAGAGGCCGACCGTAAAAGTAGTTAGCTTGAACGGTAAAATGCTAACCATATTCTAGCAAGGCCAAAATCTCTCTTTGATTGTACAGATGTCCTCGATTCTCAGTTGCACCCATCACGATGAAGACCTTAGTATACACCGGTGTCACTTGTTCGCTGCAGTGAATGCCACCATCGATCCACAAATCAATGTGTAGTAGTAGTAGTAGATTACATTATTTTACTAGGGGAGTCCCAACAGGCGTTGCCTATTTACTGGGAACCCTAGGTGAATTTTACCATGTTTACATACAGAGTAAGAGACGGGGCCTGACGGCAGTCAGTGGGAAGAGCGTTTCATCTGTCTGCCGCCGTGTGTGCATGTACTAACGCGGAAACCATTCTGTGAATCCCGTATTACCCCATAGCGAGTGACTAGAATGATGGTTTACAATACAGACCTCTACCCTATAAATTGTATCATCGTTAAAGGGGAAGATAAGCCTAAAATCAAATTTTCACCAGTTGTAGTCTTCGGGGTGCTGAGTCGAATGGTCTTGGTCCGAGGAAGCTGAAAGCTCCGTTCCTCCTTTATTTAACTCGGGTGGTGAGCCAATCAAATTATGGTGAAAAAGGAGGACAAAATGTTACGAGTTACGACTAACTGTCCACCAACGTAACCAGATCTTATACAGTCAGCGAGTGCGACAAAATGGCACGAAACTGACAAAGGAGTACTGAGACATTCGGCGACCTGACACCTAGCCGTCATGACCTATACGGCAAAACGTACGTCGTGTGGAACTACTTGTTATTGTACATAACTAGTCCATCATACATGATAGTGGAGTTAGTAGGATGTTGGCGTTTCGGTTTGTCACAATTCGTCTTCGCTTAGCTTCCCCTTCTATGTTTAATACATAAACTTGAGCCTCCCAAGTTGGGTGGCCTGTTGCTTTGCGTCGTGGAGTTGTAGTAAGGCCGGTCTGTCCAATAGTCTTACTAGTTCCGTCATCTAGTAACTTTCGGCATTCTTTGTTGCCGTGATGCGTAGCTCGTGCTCTTCTTCATTGCGCTTTCCTTCCGCTCTTGGACCTTTCCGAACCTGAGCCTTCCAAGTTGGAAGGTTGTTGGTTTGCGCCTCGGAGAAGTGTTGGGAGCTAGGTGTCAGGTCACCGAATTTCTCAGTACTCCTTTGTCAGTTTTGTGCCATTTTTGTCGCGCTCGCTGACTGTATAAGATCTGGTTACGTTGGTGGACAGTTAGCCATATCTCGTAACATTTTGTCCTCCTCCTTTATTCCCAATCGAACTCGCGCACTTCCACCGAAACTGGGTGACTGCGTCCTACTAGACGAGGATTTGTATGCAAAATGTCACTAAAAGCGCCATTTCGTTCTTATAAAAGCACGGACGACCGCGATTGGCCCTAATGTTGTAGTCTTTTGGAAGCTGAGTCGACTGGTGTTGGTCCGAGAATGCAGTGTTCAGCGTTCGGGCCTTACTCCCAATCGAACTTGGTTGAACAAGCGGTCACGTGCTGCGTACACCAGTCACCTGGTCACTGTGCCCGCGGGGTACAACTTACAGCCTGTTTGGGTGCATTCCTGTCACTCGAGTTGAACTCGAGTTAACCCTTTGTGCGAAAGTTGTCGCCTGCTGGCGCGGTGACCAGGTGACTGATGTACGCAGGAGCACGTGATCGCTTGTTCAACCATGTTCAATTGGGAATAAGGCCCAAACGCTTCATCGCAGCATTCTCGGACCAAAACCAGTCGACTCAGCTTCCAAAAACTACAACATATGGACCAATCGCGTTCATCCATGCTTTTATAAGGACGAAATGGCGCCTTTAGTGACATTTTGCATACAAATCCCCATCTAGTAGGGCGCAGTCACCCAGTTTCGGTAGAAGTGCACGATTAGGAACAAAGGAGGAACGGAGAGTCTCAGCTTCCTCGGACCAAGACCATTCGACTCAGCACCTCGAATACAACTGGTGAAAATTTGATTTTAGGCTTAACTCCCCCTTTAATTTGACTTCATTAAAACTGTGAACGGTACCATTCGGCTGTTTCTTCTAAAATACAAAAAAACACCTCCTCCATGCGCTCTAAAGCCGCACACTCCATGATCTGCAGCAGCCCTTTGTTTGAGAGCTGGAAAACCTACGACCACTTTCATCCAAGCATTGGTGGTTCAGTGGTAGAATCCTCGCCTGCCACGCGGGGGGCCCGGGTTCGATTCCCGGCCAATGCATTTTTTTTATCCCCCAGTGGTGTAGTGTGCAGCAATGGCAAACCATAGTTATGGCTGACAACCGAGCTGCAAGCTCAGGTAATAGGCCATTCACACGACATGCAAACTCACTTTTATCGTACCGTTTCCAAGGATATTTACTCGGATACGATAAACTTGGACACGCGCGTGCAACTGATTTTTTATCTCGGCCGAAGCCCTTTTCCTCGCGATTATCTTTGCACGCCAGGAAAAGTGTCGGTTGTTGAAAGTGCGTACTGCAAATGCAGTACTTGAACAAAGGAAAATTCGAAATTTAAAATTTCCCGGCATTTTCAGGAGGTCACTATGGATACATTGACGGTTGCAAAGTTTGCCCAGCACCGTGTGAACTGGATCACGGTTTGCCAGTGTTATCTTGGTCACACACGTGCAAGTGTTTACACGTCGTGTGAATGGCCTATAATACGTTTGTCTTTGCAGTTGTCTTGGCACTCAATACTAGAGAGATTAAGTTTCACGTAAAAATTCCTATAGGCCATTCACGGAGACTCCCTCGATTTAGGCTAAGGCCTGTGGAGAATCCATAAATACAAATACAAACACAAATACATGACGTGTAAACACTTGCACGTGTGTGGCCAGGAAAACACTGGCAAACCGTGATCCAGTTCACACGGTGCTGGGCAAATTTTGCAACCGTCAATGTATCCACAGTGGCCTCCTGAAAATGCCGGGAACTGTTAAATTCTGAATTTTCCTATTTTTCAAGCACTGCATTTGCAGCAGGAAGTCGTATCCACCCAATATACGACTCCCTGATTTGCAGTACGCACTTTCAACAACCGACACTTTTCCTGGCGCGCAAAGATAATCGCGAGCAAAAGGGCCTCGGCGAAGATAAAAAAAATTAGTTGCATGCGTGTGAAGTTTATCGAATCCGTGTAAATATCCTTGGAAACGGTACGATAAAAGTGAGTTTCCACGCCGTGCGAATGGCCTATAATGTCCGTGAACCTTCACGTCAAAAATTCAAAAATCTCAATATTATCTTCCTATCATAACCTGGTTTCCCATCGTTGTGTTGCTTTTGCCCGTAAAAGGATGCTGTACGTGTGGGTTCAAAAAATCACGTAACATTTGACGTGCTTTACATGATTTGACTTTCCCGCACATAGTTTCGTGTTGTGGGTTTTTGGATGTTTCGTTCGGTCATCCCAATCGGATTTGTGTGAGTTTCCATGGTTTTATCCAGTTTGTTGGAAGATGTGATATTTGTGTGAACTAAACCCGAATCTTGCCACGCAAAAATTCATGTCACGTCGCATGTGTAACTTAACCTCTGAAATTTACACGTGACATGAGATATTTTCACAGCGCTTTGAAAAAGGTAGTGGTGTGCACGGGTAGTCGGGTACCCGTGCTACCCGTGAGGACCTCGGGTAGACGGGTAGAGAATAGTACCCGAAGTCGCAGAAGACATCATCAAGTACACTGCACGTGTACAAATTGATGTAGTAACTCCGCATGTCTGCCCAGTGTGTAAGGGAAGGGGTGCTTTGTGGTGTTACCATGAAAACATTACCCGATCGGGTACCCGTGCTACCCGTGGAAAATTATCCGAACCCGATACCCGAAGAAAATGCTACCTGACTCAGCACTAGAAAAAGGCAAAAAACATCATACTTTAACCTCTCTGATAGAGAAGTTCCGCACTCGTAAAGTTGAGCAACTTACATTAGTGGGCGGGAAAAAACCCGTGAATTCGGGAGTTTGCACTCCACTTACGGAAAGTTGTCTACGTAGAGTACGTAGGTAGGGCTCTGATAACGTAGGTGCTCCGTAAGTGGATTGGGGTACAAATTTAATTTAATGAATCTCTACCCTGGTCGACCCGGTCGTACACTGCCGCGTTCCGAGTTGCCACGGGCAGCTACGTGATTTGAAAACTCGTATGGCGGAACACAGATCCGTACGCAGTGTGCGTACGACCTTCCGTAGCTCGACAATGTTTTTTTGCTGACGTAAATGCGCTTTGCAGAACCTCTCGAAATATCTGTGCCGGGCACGCAGAGACAGGCAGCCATACTACTGGCATCCCGGCCCGTACGCGCTGTACGCAAGCATGTATGCAGGCAGGAAACACCATAGGCAAGGCTACCCCATGACTTCACATGGCTTTGCCAGTTGTGTGGATTCGCCAGTTATCTGGCACTGGTCTTGGATCTGTTTCATTCAGATCTTGTCTTCAATCGGTTGCTATAAGAGAGGATCTGCAGGCATCCAATGCATTTGCAGATCTCCGTGCTCATCTTGCGACGGGCGTATACCGTAGTCCGTGTATACGCCCACCCTCCGTGTACACGCCCAGTCAGGGGAAGTCAACACTGTTGTTTTAAAATAGCGCCCATGCCCATGTATACGCCCAGGTATGCCGGAAACACCAGTACATGTACAGGTACTGATACCCAATACTTACGGCTATCCCTATTCCAAGTATACGTCCGGTTCCAAAATAACGCCCGTGCCCTTGTATACGCCCAGGAAATCGAGGCTGCTATTCTATACGCCCGGGAAATCGAGGCTGCTATTCTATACGCCCGGGAAATCGAGGCTGCTATTCTATACGCCCGGGAAATCGAGGCTGCTATTCTATACGCCCGGGAAATCGAGGCTGCTATTCTATACGCCCGGGGGCCTATACACGGGCTTTAACGGTATTGTACTACATAGCGTGTTTGATGTGTGTGTGTGATGTGTGCGTGCATGTGTGCTGAGTGTATGTGTATGATTTTATGTGACTTCATCTATGTGTGGGTGTGGGTGTGGGTGTGTGTATGTGTGCTTGTATGTGAATTAGTTTGTGTGTGTGTGTGTGTGTGTGTGTGTGTGTGTGTGTGTGTGTGTGTGTGCGTGCGTGCGCGCGCGTGTGTGTGTTTATGAGATTGATTCTTTGTGCATGCTTGTATGTTCGTGTGCCTCCATTACATCGCCGTCCTTCTGTAGAAATACCTGCAACAGATGCGTACTCACTAGAACTGAAGAAGAAGATACTCGGAGCGTTTGAGGTGTTTGATCATGACGCAAACGACACGGTAGATGTCAGGTATGCTTTACAAACATGCTGTATGTATGTGCCAGTATTACAGTGGATGTCAAGTGTGATTTGCATGTCTATGTGTGCTGGTCAGTGTCACTGTGAATGTCAGGCATGGTGTGTGCTGCGCCTGTGGACGTGTTTGTATGTGCGCGACACCGCTGAAATCGGATATGCTTAAATTGTGTACGTGTATGCGTATGTGCTCTCACGTGAAAAGAATCTTGGTGACAAGTGTGATCCGTGACTCCTGAATACAGCAGAGCCGGTTCTTGCACGCGACCCAATATCAATAGCACTGCCAGCGCCAAGTAGCTCCCCCCCCCCCCCCCCCCCCCTCACCACCACCACCACCACCACAGAGGTATTAACACGGTGGTTTAGCATGACGAATTTCGCGTTTGAGTTTGCGAACATTTTTCGGTTCGCGAACTGGATTGCGAACTTTCACAATTTCGTTCGCAAAAGTAGTTGAAACCCGAATCGCGGATTCTCAGGACAGTCACATGTTCACTACGCTGTACTGTCTGTACACAATGTACGACGTGTCAATGTCATGCATGTGCGAATTCTGCTTGCTATTCCTTCTCATAACGCGAATTCCGTCACTGAGTTCGACTTTCCTTGGAGTGCGAACGCGAATTTCGTCTTGCTAACCCTCCGTACTATCTTCATGAGCTTTTGGGATATGCAATGCCACCACTCTGGAATGCTGTGTGAGATTCTGTTGTGCACTCACTTACTGCTCTCGGTTTGTTCTGCTGCTGCTGCTGCCGCTGCCCTGTTGTTGTTAGAGAGGTGGGCACCATCATACGGTCACTTGGACTATGCCCGAGCGAGGGAGAGCTCAGCGACATGATACGAATGGTCAGTAATGCTGATGGCTCAACTCGGATAGTGAGCCAATTTAATAATGGTACAAAAAGGAGAAGGACAGAATGTTACAAGTTATGACTAACTGCCCACCAACGTAACCAGATCATATAAATTCAGCGAGCGCGACAAAATGGAATGAAACTGACAAGAAGTACTGAGACATTCAACGACCTGACACCTAGCTCCAACACTTCTCTGAGACGCGAACGAACCACCTTCCAACTTGACGGCTCAGGTTAAGAAAGGTCCAAGAGGGGAAGGAAAGCGCAACGAAGAAGAGCACGGGCTTTGTCCCACGACAAAGAAGAATGTTGAATGTCTCAGTACTCCTTGTTAGTTTTGTGCCATTTTGTCGCACTCGTTGACTGGTGCTAGTCTTGATCTCTTTCATTCAGACTCCAATCTGCTATCGTTGCTGTGAGAGAAAATCTCCCGGTGCACATCCAGTGCATTTGCAGATTTGTGTGCTTCTCTTGCGACGGGCGCATACATAGTACATGGTGCATGCGTGCGTCCCGCCTCGCGGATTAACTAGAAAACATTCTGCATCCAAAGTGCACAAAATAACTTTGTGTGGCTTTGCAATGCAAACAGGTGATAGAAGTTGGAGCCACTGCATCTTTCTAGCTCAGTTTTGCATTTCTACTGTTTTGCAGATGGAGGAGGATGAACCAACAGGCTATGTACGCTTTGTCAAGTTTGAACCTGTCGCTTTGCAGGCACTGGTGGAAAGACGGTGAGTTCTGAACATCCCTGCCATGGCCATAGAGAACCAACTGATGTCGAAAGCATTTGTTGGGAATAAAGTGCTGACGGATGCCGAAAAGCGGCTAGGCTAGAATTTCTCCAAGCACAGCATACCAATGTATACTCAGTGACTCAACTGTGCACAGACTGTAATACGTGAAAATAAGAACAGCCTACAGTCCATTCATTGGAAACTGGCACCCTGACTTTTTGGTGTCTCCTGCACATAGTTGTAGATATCGTGAAAACAACAGTACATCCTGCATTGTGTGACCTGTGCAATTACTCCTAGCCACATTTGAGGCCAGAAAAGTCCAAGAACAGGGAAATAGAAATTCAGCCAGGTTTTACAAAATTAGGACAGGTATGGCAAAATGTATGGAGAAGCAGGTCCAAAACCCAGATTTTTTAGATTTAAAGTGGGTTTTTGATCCTCGATTCCGCCTAAATCAGACTTTCAAAAGCCAGCGGGACAGTTTCCGATGAATGGACTGTAGGCTAGGCGGCTGACCCAACAGTTTCTCGGCGACCGACAGTACCACAGGATTGAACCGCTCGGGTCGGGTAGGGTGCCCATCCGCATTCTTTGCCCTCTCCGCTTCCGCTTTGCACCGCAGACCAAACACGTATCTCTTAACTCCCGCGTCGGCCTGGGCAATGGCTTCCCTTGTTTCTCGTTAGCCTGGGGTGACTGCCATCCCACACTCCATCACTCACCTCGCGACATCTGGTACCTTGTCCTCCACTGACTCCTCGATAATGACTCTCTTATAGGAGATGCGTGTGTTCACCTTATTGGCCTCGCTCGTTTCTCATTTCTTTTGTTCATTTGGCCTATGCGAAGACGAGCCAAGCTTGCTTGGTGCTGTCAACGCGAACAAGCATAATACTATAGGAGATTCACACGACGGGCAAATCCACGTTTACAGGAAAATCACCATGGAGATTTTCCTGCACACGACCAAAATTTGCCAGCGGGGATCCAAAGTTTCCAGGAGTATGATGCCCGCGGATGCACCCATCTACGCGCACTTTCACAGCGATGAGCCAGAGAGGTCATGCTATTGTATAGGAGTATAGTAGTTTTGAACTACGTTGGTTCGGCCCTTTGCCGTTGGGTACGGGTTTAATGCGAAAGCTACTCATTCCATGTGACTACCGTATCACCACAGTATCACTGTAGACTCACTGTAGACTCACTGTATACTCACTGTATACTCGCGGGAGCTCGGCTGCCACCCGTTGTCGTGTGAACTGCGGACTCGCGTTTCACCTTCTGCGAGCATCTGACAAACGTGGATTTTACTGGCATGTGAATCGCCTATAACATCTCTGTCTACATCATATTCCTGGGTAGCTGGGTCTTGCTTTGCTCCTAACTCTTTCTCGCTTAGCGAATAGAACTGTTTTCTCATGTCATCCTCATACATGCACATCCTCGTTGTGTTGCTGTGGCACATCACCCACGTCGCCTAACTTGATGACATCGCTCTGCAGACCTCCCATTGCAGGAAGGATCTGCAACGCTCCAGGTGTTGAATCCCCGCAAACTTGTCCAAAATTACTTGGCTCAGGACAGTTTGCTGAAACCTCTCCTCCTGCTTGGCAACTTACACACAGAACAACCTTGTGGCCTTGGAGCAGTTGCTGAAGAATCTTGGAATGATCCCATTTCGGTGACATGCTGTATGGAAACTCGCGAACACATCACATTTTACTCTCCCAGGGGAGAGAGAGTATGAGCTGGACCTACGGGATAAACTGTTCGTATTGCCCACAAACTCCAACGCAGCCACTTACACATGTATGAAGCCTCACTCCAACACTCAAATAACGGTGTCTTCGCTGCCAATCTAATTTAACTTCCCTTGGAGGTTACATTGTTTTTCTTCGAGAAAAGGTTGATTTGAGACTTGCAGCGATTTTTGGATCGGGCTGCTTGAGTTCTTCTTGAACTTCTTGCTTGATGTGATTTTTACTAGAATTGTAGTTGAAGTGGTGTCAAGTGTCGACTCCAGTGTTCCTCGGTCTTGTTGCGATGGCTGTGAACGCCAGAGCTGCTGACAGAGCACTCGCAGAGGTCATTCTGTACAGCTCGAGCCTTGGCTGACGTAGCCGCTGAAGTTCAGAGTGAGAACGAGACGTTCTTTATTTCCGACATTGTCGACAGCAAGGCGGGATCACAACCGTCATCGCCCGCTGCGAAGCGGCTCAAGCTGGCTAATGGCTGTTCAAAGCCGGAAGATGAAGAGTCGTGCTCTGAGATAATATTTGAGTCTGAGGCTTGTGATGTCAGCGATATCGTGTCTTCAGCTGAGGGGGAAGTAGCTGAAGATGAGATTGCTGAGCAACTCCACGCTGGATGCAGCTGCGAAGGTGCCAATTAATTTTTCAGCACTGTTCAACTATTTATTATTTTAACTGCGTTCTGCACTATTTCAAAAGTATTCGAGCTGCCCATCCACCTTAGAAATTCGAATGCTGAATATTCATTGTACCCAGACATATAAATACATAAAAATAAATAAATAAATTTCACGGTTCGCGTGAGACTCGGCTAGAAGCCGAGTTTTCCGCATCCGCCGTGGGAACGCCACCACCCTCTAGGATCAAAGGCGCAGATGCAGCGCCTAAACGGTGGGAGGAGAGTAGATCAGACCCACCACCAAGTGGTCAAAGACCGAAATCCCATTAGCTGCATCCATGTTACCCTCGTGCCAGGCCACGAGTTCCCAATTAACTGTGGGTCGCAGCACGGCTGGAAAAATTCCTTCCGCTTCCAAGCAGGATTTGAACCTGGTACCCTCTGTTTCTCAATCATGGTCTAGACCATCCCACTATGCCTGCCTGCCTGACATAATACATACATTGCACCAATTTGGAGTGCACCTTGTACATTGGTGTAGTAGACACGGTTTGAATCGGAATATTGGACTTTTCCTGGCTGAGAGCCTTCAATAGATTAGATGTGTTTCAACAAATTTCTGACGAAACTGATGAATTTTGACAATGTTGACCCTAAACTGAGGGCTGTTTTCGCTAGTTGAGGCCCGTACATCATAATTATTCCACCAAATTTTCGGGCCTGGCCCATCATCTGGGTTAACAAGTACACACATGCCTCGCTTGTCCGGGCGGTCCGGGAACGGGCACTGCCCGCAACTCCGAATCACGTACACTTTGATAGGGAAAGGCCATAGATATGGCATGTGACGTCGCTATTTCCACAAAAAGTGACAAAAGAGTAGTAATATTTCCACTGAAACTCGCCCAAAGGGTGCCCGGTAGACCGAAGTGCCCGTAACTATGGGGTACGGATAACCCAGGTATGAGTGCAAATAACCAAGATCTACGGGCACGGGCACTTAATTGGCATTGTTAAGTCTACAAATTTTCGGTGCATTTAAATTTCGGCCTCCCAGGGCTAAAACACATTTTGGCCGCATTAAAATTTCCGCCTGTACTGCTGCCGCCTGTATGTGTTCCACCCAATATGATAATTTGTGCCAAAAAAAACTATTGATCTGTGGATCTGAGAATTTGCTTCTTCTTTCCAAGTATTGCTGTGTTCCATGTGTTGTGCTTCAGATACCGCCCAGTTGATGAAGAAACATTACTCAAGGCATTCGAGGTGAGTTTCAAGTCATTGCCCCCCCCCCCCCCCCCCCCTCTCTTCCGCTTTGCATCTGTGCCTTAATTCTTAAGGGTGATGGCCTTCCTATGCATGCAGAAAACTTGGTCCCATCGTGTCTCAGGAGCACTTCAAAATTGAAATATTTGTGTCGTTTCTGATGAATGAGGGACCTACTGTAAAGCCTCCTAGGAAGCCATGTTTGTTGTGCAAGCAGATGTGAAGGTGGGTCGGCTGGTAGTGAAATCAAACCCTTACTACGGCCCAGTTCGCGATAGGCGTGCAAAAATGTGCTTTCGGTGTGGTATTCTAGTAGTTGGTGATGCGAGCACACAGGCCCTATCTTCTTTGGCGTTCGCCTTTTTTCACGGGTAGAGTAATGGCAGGGGCAGATATTGGAGAGGGGGTGGATCAAATGTGCTGCTATGCACATACAAGCAGTATCTATCCCGTATCTTCCCCTCACAACCACTGGTTGTCAGAATTCTGCCAGTCAATCCTCGGTAGTATAGTGGTAAGTATCTCCGCCTGTCACGCGGAAGACCCGGGTTCGATTCCCGGCCGGGGAGGACATTTCTTTTTTTCTTCAGCTTGCCACACCTGAGGCTGTTATTTTTTTATGACGTCACTTGAAAATGTGTAGCTAAGGTCTAAAGCCTAGTTCACATTCGACGCAACGCCGACGGTACGGGACGTAAGGGCTTGTCGGGAGGGCTGGGGTGAGCTGTAAAATCCTGTACGATTCGTACGACACGACATGCAGCAGTCGTTGCGACGTTCAACGTCGAACGGCGCGAGTCATAAGGCACGGTCCGTGACGGGGTGACTTTCGGACCTATTTTCTCGTTTTTCGGGACTTCTTTTCAATTATATCTCCTTGAAAGAAGCGGAACCAAGTTCATAATACCAGTTTTTCATGAAGACCAACAATTAGCCCTGAAAGTTGTGGCATTCAAATAATAGCTCCAGGAAATGATAGAATAGTTCGTCTGTCACGCTTCTGAACTATCCCTAAATACAATAAGTGACACGAGATCTTATGTTGCTAAAATTCAACTCCAGTCGTGCTAGCCATTCTGTGAGTTATCATGGGAAGCGCAGTGTTCGAAATGCTAAAAATTTCCAAGTACGAATCGGGAGCAGTCGGCGCACGACGCCGTCTCCTGTTCACACTCGAATTGCAGCCGTTTTGTACGCTTGCGTCCCCGTCTACGCCCGTCTACGGTATGAAAAGTTGGATCGATCCAACTCTTCCCGTCGCTTCCCGATATGTACGGTAGTACGGTTGCGTTCCCGTTGCTGGTGTTCACACTGGACGCCGTCAGACCGTCCCGTCGCTTCCCGTCGATCCTTACGTCGCGTCCCGTCGCGCCCCGTCGAATGTGAACTAGGCTTAAGAGGTGACAGACAGAAGTCGCGTACCTTTTGGTGTTTCCCATGTTCATCACATCACTTTGATCTGGGGTGGGTCATCGCGTGTGTGACCGTCAGCAGGCTCTTACATTGTGTGTGTGTGTGTGTGTGTGTGTGTATGTTTGCAGGGGCGGATCCAGGAGGGGTTCCAGCCTAAATATCGTAAATGTACTGCTGGCAACCATATGCGTGTCCATGTACATGTATCAGCTATTCAGTTTTGACGATACTGGAACCCCCCCCCCCCCCCCCTGTAGAGATCGCTGGATCCGCCGCTGGTTTGCGTGCATGCACGTGTGTATAATTATGTTGCTGTGTGTATTGTGCGGTGCGTGTTGTGCGGTGTGTGTGTGTGTGTGTGTGTGTGTGTGTGTGTGTGTGTTGCACTGTGTGTGTTGCACTGTGTGTGTGTGTGTGTGTGTGTGTGTGTGTGTGTGTGTGTGTGTGTGTGTGTGTGTGTGTGTGTGTGTGTGTGTGTGTGTGTGTGTGTGTGTGTGTGTGTGTGTGTGTGTGTGTGTGTGTGTGTGTGTGTGTGTGTGTGTGTGTGTGTGTGTGTGTGTGTGTGTGTGTGTGTGTGTGTGTGTGTGTGTGTGTGTGTGTGTGTGTGTGTGTGTGTGTGTGTGTGTGTGTGTGTGTGTGTGTGTGTGTGTGTGTGTGTGTGTGTGTGTGTGTGTGTGTGTGTGTGTGTGTGTGTGTGTGTGTGTGTGTGTGTGTGTGTGTGTGTGTGTGTGTGTGTGTGTGTGTGTGTGTGTGTGTGTGTGTGTGTGTGTGTATGGTAATTCACACAACCACAGGTGCTGGACACAGCCAAGAACGATTGCTTGACGGTGGAGCAACTCACCAAAGTCATGTGTGAGAATGGTAAGTTTGTACGAAAGCTCCTTGTTCGGGCAGACCTGAAGAGGCAATCCCCAGTCATATCGATGCAGTTGCAAGCATGATTGATTCAGCGGTGACAGATAAAGTTGCAAGCACGATTGATGTCTGTAATGGGAAGTCTCACATTGCGTAATCATGGCAGGGGCTTCGGAAGTTGTTTCAGGGTAGTTCGGTCAACAATCTGAAATGCGATTTACTGCTCGGGGGGGGGGGGGGGGGGGGGGCTCGGCTAAAAATATTCGAAGTTTAGAGTCCAGGTCAATGCATTAATTGATTCACGGGTTTGTAGCATTCGCTGTGTTTGTCGAGGCCGCTAAAAATACCTCGCCTGCAATAGGAGCAAGCATAGGCTCAACCGCCACATATCTGTGGTGATTGTGATTGTGGCCATTCTCCTGATGCGAAAGTGGGATGCGTCGTTTGCATGGTGGTGTGACTGATATTTTTTTCGTGATGGCCGAGTTAGTTGGTTAAAAATTTCTCTTTTTCATTATGCTATGGTGCTGCTCAATGGAATCCAATCATGTGGCCGGTGTTTCCACCGAGTCTGTCTTGAGATGTTGTAATAAATATTATAATATGTGAGTCAATGCCATGCCGGTCCTATGCAGCCCCACACCTGCAAACACTGGTTGGTGCACTGCTGTGCGCAAACGAGACTCGCACGACCAGATTTCGTTGAGGAGTGCTGTGGTCTGAAATGGTAAGGCGTGCCCTAACCGGACGCCCTTGGTGCAGCGAAGACTGTCCTCACGTTTGGACGCCCTTGGTGCAGCGGAGACTGTCCTCGTATGACATGATTCCGCCTGATCCAGGGATGCACGTTCGATCCACGGCACTTTGGTGCATGAAAAGTTGTCTGGTCAGATTCTGCTTGGTACCGGGTCGGGCAAACACAGGTTGTACTGTTTATGGTCATAAGGCCACACCAAGTTATTTCTATGTTTCGCGTCACCGCGCGCGTACCTTTTCGAATCCTTGACAAGAAAAAAAAAGAACCGAGACGAGTCAATCGATGGCTGTTCTGGCCAGCATTCTGTAGCCAGTATGGCACATCAGAGATTATCAGCTTCTCGATAATTTTGCCTTTCAGGCGAGGGTATGTAGAAGGTGAGAGCGATGAAAATTTCTACTCAAGTACATTTCTAAGCCGTACTGTAGGCCAGTGTTGGGCCCGCTCACCAAGCGCAGCGAGCTGAGATTCCAGGTACGTGTCAAGGACTTCGAGATTTACCACGATATGGAGCGGAATTCCACTCCACTCAGGTCAAAGTGCAGAAGGAGCCACCCGTGAAATCGGTTATTGTATCGCTCCTGCCCAGTCTGCCAGCTGTGCTGTGGCGACTTGTTGTCATTTTGGATATAAGTGACAGTTTAGGAGTACTATTCTGTGTGTAACATGGCTCAGTACACATAGAATGGAGTTTTGTTTTTTCCCCTTTTTTTTCCCGCCCGCCCGCTTGCCTTTTCCAGAAAATGTCCAACGCGAAACATAGAATTAACTTGGTGTGGCCTAAGGACTGCTTGCATACACTACTCATCATGTGCAGCAGCCGTATGAACAACTTACTTACAGTAGTCGCGCGCCGAAGAACGTGGAGCCCAAGAACGTCCAGCCTAAAATTCTAAGAACGCCACAGCCTAAAGCTAAGAACGGCGGTGTTGGTTTTCTGGCAGCTTGTCAGATACATATGATCCAGTACGGATTGTTTCTAAGAGCGTGCTATAAGAACGCAGCCATATTGCTGAAAAATAAGAACGTCCCAGTCTAACCCCTTGGAAACAACGTGCGCGCGACTCTACTGTACTGTTACTGGTGTGGACACAGAAACCGGGTGAGCAGTCAAACGGCCTAGGGGCGCTGGCCTTGCAGCCATGAACACTACTAGGTCTTGTCCATGTGTGCAGTGTGTAGGTGAACTGTAGTAGGGGCTCTGGCCAAGGTCATTCCTGAGTCCACCCAATTCCATTGTCCATAACAGTACAATGTCATGTACCCAGCTATGCAAAGAAGAGCAAACCCCGTTTCAATTCAGGAGTGCATTCTGAAATCACTATGACATTGCATCCGTCTTCCCTGGCTGTGCCACTGTGGATGTGTGCGTGTGCGTGCGTGTGTGTATGCATGCATGTGTGTGTATCTGCGTGTGCATGGTACATGTACATGGGAATGTGCTGTGTCCGTACAGGGGAGAACTTCTCCAAAGAGGAGATGGATGAGATGCTGAGTGCGGCTGTGGACCCAGACAAGAACAACATCCAGTACCGCGAGTACGTTTCTCTAATGGTGGTCGATGAGAACAACTGACCAACTAAGCATACTGGTAGTCTAGAGATGCCAAGCGCAGCCGTGAGCAGGAGACGACAACGACACAACGGCCGCCGTGTGCATAGTGCACGTTGTCAACAACTCCTACTGCATGCTGCAAGAAACCTCTAATCGGACTAGCATCTTACTCCAGTGTCTACTGGCGAGAATTGAGCAGACTGATGGTGTGACCACCATCACTGCATTTCTGTCAGTCTCAGTCCGTCAGACACCACCAGTATTGGTAGAACAGTAGCACACCGGACGGTGTTGATTGTAACCAGTTAGTAGCTAGTCAATCAGTAGAGTATGACTGTGCAGAGTGGATTGAACACAATAGGCAAGTACAATAGGCAAACTAGTATCCACTGCAACAGCCGTCGTCTAACAAGCTGACTCTGAACTCGCACAGCTCGAGTGCAAAGAAAAAAACTACATGCATGTATTACTACTATCAGAAAAGACAATAAGCTAAAAAAAAACTAAACTGAACTAAACAAAGTGATCAAACGCGTCTTGTCACAGAATTGCATTCCTCATTTTTATACTGTATATTATTTTCCTTATATGTGGTTAATAATAGTCATTTCATGGATAAAAACCCAAGTTAAACATAGCCTTTTATTTTATAATTTCTTGATTAATTCTTCAGCTTCTTGTCGCTTATCGTCTTTCTTCATACCGATGAAATCTGCAAAAAGCGGGAAGGTAAATAGAGCTAATCCGTGTTAAATGCAACCAGGAACAAACTTTGCACCACGTCGACTTTTCGATCAATTTTATTTACAATGCCTGCCTGCTCCTTGGGCCCCTAGGCCCCCCCCCCCCTAAGTTCCATTTTTGGCACCCAAAATTCATACAGCCTCTCTCTATATTGGCACCCAGGATTCATACAGTCCCCCCCCCCTATTTCGGCACCCAGGATGCATACAGCCCAGCCCCTCTATTTTGGCACCCAGGATTTATACAGCAGCCAGCCTCTTCCACTCATTCCTACTTGCACAGTATTCAGCACACCTTGATGATACCAGCAGCTTGGATTCATCACGGCTGCATGGCCAGCGCCCTGGGCCGCTTGACCTCCGACCGGATTTTCATGTCCACAGCAGTAATAGTAGGACTCCCTGGAGTTGGCACATGCCCTGGCTTCACAGCCCTGGATTTGACACATGCACTGGCCTTGTCCCTGCAGGGAATCGCGATTCCACGGATGCAACAAATTTCGCGATTTTGGCCCAAACCCGCGTTTTTCTGCATAATCCGCGATTTCCCGCGTTTTTTGTTGTTTTCTGCACTTTTTCAAACATTCTTCTGTACTTTTCCCGCAGTGCTTTCCATGATCATGTTGGTTTTTTGCATAGACTCGACTCTTGCTACTCCCAAGAGAGTGGAGTAGATCAGGGAGTCATCAAATACCATATTTGACGACTTCCTGGAGCACATCTACTGCCCAAATAGTGATTCTACAGATGCAACAAATTTCGTGATTTGGCCCAAATCCGCATTTTTCTGCAAATCATTCCGCGAATTCCTGGCAAGTTCCGCATCTTTCCGCACTTTCCCCCGCATTTTTCATTGTTTTCTGCCGCAATTTCTTGCGCAAGTTTTCGAGACTTTTTCCGCAATTTCCCGCAGGGACAGACTGGCTTCACAGCCCTGGATTTGGCACATGCACTGGCTTCACAGCCCTGGATTTGGCACATGCACTGGCTTCACAGCCCTGGATTTGGCACATGCTCTGGCTTCAATTCACAGCTCTGCATTTGTGAGGCTGGCTGCACAGCCCTGGATTTGAGATCCTGGCTTCACAACCCTGGATTTGACACCCTGCTGTCAGAGCCCTGGATTTGACACCCCCGGCTTCACAGCCTTGGCATGGCTGGACCTAAGACGTAGTAAGAGCCCAAGCTCTGAACCAGTGCACACACTGGCTTCAGCGCTTCTATTCAATTATAAATGTGCAGTGCGATTAGCCACAGTACTGCTACAGTACCGGGTTCAAAAGTCTCCTTTTTTTAAAACGATGGGTCAAATAATTATGTTATTCATAATTATGGTGGTAAACACGCACCTGGCAATATAAAGTCTCTTTTTTTTACCCCCCCCCCCCCCCATGACCCTGGATCCGTATTGCATTGACTACCTAACTAACACATGGTACTGTCATGGTACTGTGAAAACTGAAAGTCTAGTTTTGAAAATCCACACTAGCACCCGGCTACCAGAAAACAATAGTGTTCAACTGTACTTTGGTACTAAATAGTGGTTGCGACTTCGGCGATGATTTTCTAGGAATGGGTTTGCCGAAACACTGGGTATTGAGCAGGGAGTGGTGCTTTCTTGCAGGTTTGCCGAGTCGAAGGTTCGATGGACTCCTCGTGTGCTCTGGATGGGCAGTCGTGAGTCAGTCAAGCGTCAAGTCAAGTCGGCGGAATAGCGCGAGCTCCAGTGTGAGAGCAAAGCCATTCCTAAAAACATGTACTCTGGTACTTACTGAGAATCTGTCTGTTCAGGTGTCAGACGGCATGCTGGCGGCAAGTACTCTGCGACAGTCTACAAGCAGAAGAGAATGGGAGAGAGATTCGAACGTAAATCACAACGGGAGAGATTGGAACATCATTTCAAAACTAAGAAAACATTTTTAAATGAGATGGCAAAAAAAATGAGATGGCAAAAAAATGAGATGGCAAAAAAAATGAGATGGCAAAAAAAATGAGATGGCAAGGATCTACTGTAAAGCAGAAATTTTCGGTGGTGTTTTATTTTCGGTAACTTCGGTGCCGACAATTTTTACCGAAAACAAACGCACCGAAAATTTCGGTACTACCGATATTGTATACATGTAGTACAAGTACACTTACCTGGAAAATGGGTTTTAACGAAAATTTCCCTCTGCCGAACCGCCGATTTTGGTGAATACCGAAAATATTACACCACCGAAAATTTCTGCTTTTACAGTACTCTTGGCACAGCTGATCATGACACACAGGCACAAACGAAACCATAGCAACGGTGCTGTAGCCGAGAGGATATTATTATTATTACTATTACTCTCGTCTCTGTCCCGAATGGGACGCACGACGGCAGAATTGACTGTGAGCATGTGTGTGTGTGTGTGTGAGTGGGAAAACAAAATGAGAAAAAGAACAAAAAGCCTAGAGGCTAGCTAGACTGTAAACTGTGACAGCATACACGGCTGTTAGCTGCACTTGGATCGCGGCAACTTAGTTTTCTGCATGTGAACCATGAAAAATCAATGCATGCTCATGCATGTTCATGCATAACCAGTCAGCTGGCCTGCTCGCCCACGCATTTGACAGGTAACAATTCCATCAAATTTGAGATATCGCTTCGTTCTAAGTCTCAAAACAGTTCTAAAGTCACCAAACCACGCTGGTAATCGATGGCTATTCAATGTTAACATCTTCAGGAAGACTTCAGCCGTTTCCCGAGAGTTTGGGCATCGTTGCCGCTATTTTTCACGGTGTTCTTCTTCCTCCTGTCTGGAGCTGCAATTGCATCCTGGAATTATTTGAAAGGTATTTCGTGCGGGCTGTGGGGGGGGGGGGGGGGTTCCAACAGGCATAAACTGACATCGCTATAGGATAACTGGTAACTTTCACCCTTCAAGGAGGTAGAGCAATGAGAATTTTTTTGTGGCGGTCGTCCAATTTTTGTGGCGGTCGTGGCTGTATTTGTGCACTTCCAAGGCTTTCATTCTGCCTGATACTACTCTCTACTGTATGGGAATCGTTGTTTAGGCACATGTAGCTGTCTTATTTGGTAGATCTGCTGTTTTCAATCACTTGGGACACTTTGTCTAGCCTATTTTAGTATTTGTCTTTCGTTCGTGCCATCTATCAGTTTTGTGGGTTGCCCTGGCCTGTATTTGTGAAGTTCTCGAGTAAAGACCCTAATTCTTGACTGGAGTCACGACTTGAATTGTATTTGCTGGGCGAGCCCTTGTTCACGCAGTTGTCCTTATCGTAATAGTCAATATCTGCTTGCTGGGCGGACTAGCGGCTAGAATAGGCAGGGGCGTCACAGGGTGGCTGGGAGTGGTACGACCGGGGGTGTCCCCCGGAGAAAAAAATAAGGATTTTTCGGCTAACAGGCCACCTTTTAGCGCTCTACAGCCGCAAAGGAGGGTTCCCCTAGCACTTATTCGACAACCCCACTCCAGCTCCAAAAACATACTTCTCATGGATTTTTGGTATTTTCTGTACATCGTAGGTAGCCAAGCAAGGCAAATGGAACCCATTCAATGATTCAGGGCCATTGCCCTCGAAAAAATAGCAAAATTCGAAGTACAAGCGTGCTGCGCGGTCTAGCGCCAGCGGCTATGCAAAAACGTATGTCGTGTCCTGCAAAAGTCTGCCGCGTCGCGTACACTATGTACACGTCCGGCCTGGGCAGTCGCGAAGTAATTATTTTAGTTGTTTTCAGAGAGAGAAGAAGATCCTTTGTTGATCGGTGGGATTGAAAGATCTGCCAGTGGACCGGAGAGCTACAACAATGGAAGCAGAAGAAAGCGCTTGCGGAATCTTCTCTGTCTTCGTGGCAACAGGACTTTAGTTTGCGAGAGACTTTCGTCCTGTCGTCGCGGACGAAATTCTTGTTGCTGCTACCAGAAAACTCGGGGAACGAAACGATCGTAAATCGTTATAATATAGGTGAAGCGGGTCGTGTCGGTGAACAGCTGCAGAATATTCTGCTGCCGTGGAGCAGCAGTCCAAACACTTTTCAGCTTCGGAGAATGAAGCGCTTCCCTTTTCCGTTGACAAGCGCTGCGTTCGCGGGTGTAATGCATTTTCGAATCCGCTTGCAGTAGATCGTCAGGAGCCAGAGGTACTAGGTAGGTGTCGTTGTGGAAAGAATATAATTATTATGTTGTAGCTGACAAGTGACATACATGTAGTGTCTCTTGACGTGCTGATCGCCATTGTAACATGGTAGATCTTGGAAAATTTTAGTTCTGGACCCAGTGATCGCCGCCAGCTCAGCTCTGTTTCCGTCAAGTTTGCAGTGAATGCGTCCGTGAGGAATCCATCGTCTGGTTATCTCTAACCGTGACTCCAACCGCCTATCGTAATGGATAGCCGCCTGGAGTCTTGGGCGTAGCTGCTAGTGCTAGGCATCAAGTCTGTATGCTCCTTGCAATGAAAGTAACAGTTGCGATGTTTTGTACAAGTCCGAAGATCCTTGAATTTTTTTATTGCTTTTTCGGATGAATTGGGTGGACCATCCTGGACGAAAAGTGGTACGACCATGGTCGTAGTGGTCGTACCGTGTGTGACGCCCCTGATAGGGATGACCAAATGGTCCAAGTGTGTACTAGTACACGATTATTGTTTTCATCATCGTGAAATGAGCGTTGTGGAATTGTAGTCGTCTGCCTTTGGCACTGAGGACACGAGGAGAGTTGATTGTTACTTCTGCTCAGCAACGAAGCGGTCGTCAGCTTTCTTTGTTCTAATTATTGAGAGGACATACCGGCATCGCAATTAAGTAAAGATTAGGCAAACCTCGCCAACCTCCAAAGAGAGTCGCGATATTTTCTCCAAATGCAAAGACGATCTTTGTGAGTTCGTGACTTGCATTTGCGTGCATACATGAGCAAGTCACGGACCACGGCACGTGCGCGGTTACAATGCCATCTCGAACCGACGCCATCTTTCTAAGTTGCCGCTTCTTGACAGCCGTGCATAGTCAGGCCTGCGTGCCATGTGCACTGCTCATTCTCAATACAGACATCGAGCGTGTGCTACAATCACACGGAGCATTGCAAAAAGCACCGTGTTTCCCGGAGTATAAGCAGCACTGGAGTGGAGTACTGTATAAGCAGAAATATTCGTCTGGAATTTAATTTCGTCTTTTTCGTCCAAGGAACTTTTGGACTAAATTAAGTGCCGGACTAATGTCGATTTGTCCAGCTTTTACACTATAGGGCTTGAAAGTGATGACGTCAAAACAGCCAGGGAGTAGTAAGTTGACATCAGATTTCTATTTTTGGATCCACTAAGGTGTGACTTTGCTATTGCCTAAGTATGTGGGTGCATAGCAACCCACTCATGTCGCATGCAGGTGTGACTTTTATTTCGCCACCAGTTGTAACCCCGCCCCCAGTAGCCAAATCAGTCAGTTTCACTGGCTACATCACCATGCTGTGGGTAAGACCGCTTGAAATGTGCTTGGATCCATACAAAAACTGGATCCAAGTGGATCCAGTTTTTGAATTTTTGAAATTGTTGCTATGCTGTGACGTAGCACTTTCAAGCCCTATTAATGATCCATGGACGAAATTTTCAACCGGACGAACTTCCTTTCTTAGGAATTGGACGAAATTT